TGCAGCATGGAAGAATTCAAAAATGCCATAATTAAGATATAGCCAGAAAGCAAATGAGAGCTCTTAGAAATTAAATTTATAATAGAAGAAATGAAAAGTTCAGTGCAATGTTTGACAGATAAGCTCATGAAAATCTTCCAGAAAGTAGAATCAAACAAAATAAAATGAAAAATGAAGCCTGAGCTTGGTGGCTCATGCCTGTAATCCCTGCACTTTGGGAGGCCGAGGTGGGCGGATCACCAGAGGTCAGGAGTTCGAGACCAGCCTGACAAACATGGAGAAGCTCTGTGTCTACTAAAAATAACAAAATTAGCCGGGCATGGTGGCACATGCTTGTAATCCCAGCTACTCGGGAGGCTGAGGCAGGAGAATCACTTGAACCCAGGAGGCGGAGGTTGTGGTGAGCCGAGATAGTGCCATTGCATTCCAGCCTGGGCAACAAGAGCAAAAAAACTCCATCTCTCTCTCCCTCTCTCTCTCTCTCTCACACACACACACACACACACACACACACACACACACACAGAGGCTGGGCGCAGTGGCTTACGCCTGTAATCTCAGCACTTTGGGAGGCCGAGGCGGGCAGATCACGAGGTCAGGAGATCGAGACCATCTGGCTAATACAGTGAAACCCCATCTCTACTAAAAAAAAAAAAAAAAAAAAAAAAAAAATTAGCTGGGCGTGGTGACAGGTGCCTGTAGTCCCAGCTACTCGGGAGGCTGAGGCAGAAGAATGGTATGAACCCAGGAGGCGGAGCTTGCAATGAGCCAAGATCACGCCACTGCACTCCAGCCTGGACAACAGAGCGAGACTCCGTCTCAAAAAAAAGAAAAGAAAAAAGAAAAATGGAAAAATAATCTGAGAAAATTAGAGGAACAGTCCATGAGGTCTAGTATCTGAAAAATAGGGTGTCCGAAAGGCAAAAAAAAAATGGAGAGAAAGTCTTCAAAGGAATAGTTAATAGAAGAAATCATTTCCCAGTCTTAAAGGTCATGAGTTTCTTTGCTGGATTGCAACGTTACAACACGTGTTCCACACAAAAGATGACAATGAAACATGCCCAGATATATCACTGTAAAATTAAGAAAAATGAGAAGGTAGGGCACAGAGAGGAACATCCTGAAGACTTCAAGTGAGTAAAAAACAAGTTACACACAAAAGGTCAACAAATCAAAAGGGCACTAAGTGTCTGGAGATTGGGAATAAGCACAGGGTTCACCACACAAAGTACCCCAGCTGTAAGATCTGAACCTCACTAATTCCCCTTTCTGCACAACCTCCACTTCTGTTTTTCACCTTCTTTGTAATATTTTAATTCATTAATCTCATCTTGAACTTACTTGCCTTTAGCTTTTCTTTATTCCTGCCCAGAAAAGCACATCCAGAGATTCAAAGGCAACAATAAAAAACAGGACTTAAGAGTGTGGGCTCTGCATCATCCAAAGCGAACTTGTCACAGAACAAACCTCAAAATTAGGGTTCAGCCTGAGTGGCCATATAGGTTCTCAGCTTCATGCAGGAAGGAATTCAAGAGCAATCTGACAGAATAAAGTGAAAGCAAGTTTGTTAAGAAAGTAAAGGAATAAAGAGTGGCTATTTCATAGGCAGAGCAATGGTATGGGCTGCTAGACTGAGTATATTTATGGTTATTCCTTGATCATATGCTAAACAAGGGATGGATTATTCATGAGTTTTCCAGGAAAAAGGTGGAGAGTTCCTGGAACAGAGTGTCCTCCCTTGTTAGGCCATATAGGGTAACTTCTCTAAGTGGGCATGGCATGGGCAAACTGTCATGGTGCTGGTGGGAGTGTCTTTTAGCATGCCAATACATTATAATTAGCATATAATGAACAGTGAGGATGACCAGAGGTCGCTTTGGTCACCATCTTGGTTTTAGCAGGTTTCAGTCCTCTTCTTTACCTATCCTGTTTTATCAGCCAGGTCTTTATGACCTTATCCTGTGAAATCGGTCCTGCCAACCTCCTATCTCAAACTAACACAGGAAAGAAAATAAAATACTGTGTGTTCTCACTTGTAAGTTGGAGCTAAACATTGGGTACAGATGGACACAAAGAAGGGAACAATAGATACTGGGTGCTACTCGAGGATGCAGGGTGGAAGGAGAGTACAGATCAAAAAACTACCTATTGGGTACTATGCTTATCACATGGGTAAGGAAATAATCTGTACCCCAAGCCCCCGAGACACTCAATTTACCTGTATAACAAACCTGCACATGTACTTCTGAACCTAAATTAAAGTTTAAAACAACAACAACAACAAACTGAAGAAAAGTATGGGCTCTGGTGTCAAATTAACAGGGTTAGAACCATGAATTAAGTGTGACCTTAGAGAGTCACTTATACTTTCGAAGCCTTGGTTATTTCATGTAAATTAAAGGTGATGATAACAGTCCCAATTTAGGATCAAATGAGATATTGCAATACTGGACACATTAAAAGTGTCTCCATGGGACTAGCCCAAACTGGGCCTACTCTGTTGATAACAAAATATCGTGTTACCTTTTAGATATAACAGAGCCAAAAACTGCAAGTCATGTAGCCCAGGCGTGTACAATAGAAAAAGCTTAGACCTCTAACAACACCCAAAACCAATGAATCCTTTCCTTGGAACCAAGAAGACCAGGACATGACTGGAACCTGAACTTGGAACTCTTTCAAAAGTGATGGGTCCATTTGACTGGAGGATCGGGCCTAAAATCGGCCTCTATGTACCTTTTTCTAAATGGTCAAATTTAAATCCTCCAATCAGCCTGCCAGGACACATTCGTAAATCCTTTCCCTTGGCTTTCCAAGCCCATGAGTTTACCCCAGATGCCAAATCAGGGAGACAGATTTGAATGCACTCCTATATCCTTGCTGAACAGTTGTGCAAATAAAGCCTTTTTTTCCTCAAAAGCTTGTGCCACATAGTGTTAGCTTCTGCGTGCACATTGGATACAGAGCTCATTTGCTTGATAACAAAAACAAGCTATTAATACCTATTATTTCTATTATTATTCACCCCCCAGCGCCCCACCATGTTAAATATTCCTATAACTTTCATTTCTACCTTAAAATTTTATTTATCCTGTAATCCCAGCACTTTGGGAGGCCGAGACGGGTGGATCACGAGGTCAGAAGATCGAGACCATCCTGGCTAACACGGTGAAACCCCGTCTCTACTAAAAAATACAAAAAACTAGCCGGGCGAGGTGGCGGGCGCCTGTAGTCCCAGCTACTCGGGAGGCTGAGGCAGGAGAATGGCGTGAACCCGGGAGGCGGAGCTTGCAGTGAGCTGAGATCCGGCCCCTGCACTCCAGCCTGGGGCGACAGAGAGACTCGTCTCAAAAAAAAAAAAAAAAAAAAAAAAAAAAAAAAAAAAAAAAAATTATTTATCCAATAAGTTTTCGCTTAGAAGCTATCTGCCACAGGTATCTTCCTTTAATATCACAACCATCTACCCAGCCACCCAAATCAGAAACCTGTAAGTTATCCTTGATTCTGTTTCTTTACTTCCTATGTCCAAATCATAAAATTCTCATAATTCTTCTTCCGGAATAAGCTCCTTTATTCATCCTCTCCTGCCTCTCCTTTCCTCCATGGCTCCAATTTAGACTCTAGATTTCTACCTTAGCCTCGCAAGTGGTCTCTAACTCTAAAAGTTTCCATATATTTGTCCAGGATTTTTTTTTTTTTTTTTTTTTTTTTGGATACAGGGTCTCTGACATCCAGGCTGGAGTGCAGTGGCACGATCACATCTCATTGCAGCCTTTGGGCTCATTGACCTCCTGGGCTGAAATGGTTCTCCCGCCTCAGCCTTCCAAGTAGCCGGGACCATAGGCATGTGCCACCCAGCCAGCTAATTAAAATAAATTTTATTCGTAGAGGTGGAGTCCCACTATGTTGCCCAGGCTGGTCTTGAATTCCTGGGCTCAGACAATCCTTCTGCGGTGGCCTCCCAAAATGTTAGGGTTAGAGGCGTGAGCCACAGCACCAGGCTTAGATTCTTTTATTCACAAGAGGTGTAAAGGTGATCTCATTTTATATACATGTCAACTAAAGAAAAAAATAAGGCTTTTAAAGACTCAAAGTTAGTTTTATTTGGAGTCTTACTGAGGAATGCAACACTGGGGAGTCGTTCAAAGAGTTTATGTTATACTGCTCCAAAGCAGCGGTTCTGCCCACAGTTTCTATTATCAAGGGATGGAGTTCTGCATGTGCTCAAAAGTTACATTAAACATGCTCAGAAGTTACACTGGAGCAAAATCTCATCAAAGTTTTGGTTGGAGAGTACATCTGATTATAGGTTACAGAGGCATAATCTTTAATCCTGTCAGACGTTATCTTACGTACAGAAAGAGGCAAGAGCTAGGATCACTGAACTTGTCTTTTTAGAAAATGAAGTGATTCAAGCAACAGTTGTGGAAACCTGTGCTCTATCCTCTTACTGTCTTCAGGGCATTATTCTGGAGGACTGTGTTCAGTCACTGAATCAGGGGCTTTGTGAAATTCCGCTGGCAACAGAATGAGCAAACATGGTTTCTTCCGTTTCCTACTTTGTCTCACATACATGATTTCCTATGCTCAAACCTGGCAGGAAAAGTTTTTTATTTTTTCAGTGCTTAAGCTATAGTAATCCTTCACTTGGTTTTAAGTCAGTGGGTTTTTTTGACATCAAATTGTTAAACTACAAGTCATGTTTCCTTTAACGTGAAAATTACCTAGTCTGAATAAATTCTGATGTAAATATAACTCGACAAATTATGATATTTTCAACTTACGATGGGTTTATTGAGGGGAGGAGGCAGCCCTACCGTAAGTAGAGGAACTCTATACACTTTTGAAAATACCGCTGGGCTTCAGGGTTAGCCGGCCTCTAACCTACTCTTTACTGGACCTGCCAACTTCGCGCAGGGTTGGTAACCTAGCAACCAAGCAACACCAGCAGTGACTTCCGGTCCCCAGACTTGGGTTGTCCAATCAGCTCAGTGGAGCTGCCGCAGAGGCTGATGGGGGACTGACGCCTGTGAGGCTTCCAGTGTCGGCACCATGGCGACGCGCGGTGGGACTGAGGTGGCAATGGCGGCTTGGTCCCTCTTATCTGCCCGGGCCGTGACCGTGTTCCTCCTGTTGTCCCTCCCTCGCTTCTTACAGGCCCAGACCTTCTCTTTCCCTTTCCAGCAGCCGGAGAAGTGCGACAACAACCAGTACTTTGATATCTCCGCGCTCTCCTGTGTTCCGTGTGGCGTTAACCAGAGGCAGGATGCCCGCGGTAAGACGGTTTGAGGTGGGCCCTGGCAAAAGTAACACTCCCGTCTTGGTCGACCCCTAGTCCCTGGAGATGGAATTTCATCATGTTGATCAGGCTAGTCTCGAACTTCTGACCTCAGGTGATCCACCCGCCTCCGCCTCCCAAAGTGCTGGGATTACAGGCGTGAGCCACCGCGCCTGGCCCGAATACATATGTATTGTTTAGTGACGTAGAAATGTAAAATTTCCAGCAGCAGTTAAGTAGTTTAATAGTTTAGTTATACTTGCGCTTAAAATGGTAGCAACACAATACCAGCTGTGTGTGACAGTCTAAGACCTTTACGTATAATAACTAATTTTATATTCATACTAATACTATGAGGTAGGTACCGATTTTTTTTTTCTCCTTTTTATTGTAGAGGAAGCCAAGGCAGAGAGTTTAGTAACTTGTTCAAGGTCATGCAACCGAGTAGGAGTATTAAGATTGGAACTGAAGAAGTATGTTTCTGGATTTGAACCCAGGCAGTACTGGCTCCAGAATCCTGCTGTTAATCACTATACTGCTTCTCAAGATCTTCAGACTTATTAAAAGTTTCACTATCTTGGAACTTTATTTTTATTTATCAAGGATAAAGTTGGCTTTTTTTTTTTTTTTTAGGAACTTCATGTGTATGTCTACCAGGATTTCAGATGATCTCTAATAATGGAGGACCTGCTGTTATTTGTAAAAAGTGCCCAGAAAACATGGTATGCATAATTTATTTTAAAATAACTTAACTGTAAAAGTAATAAGTTAAATATCTTTATTTTTCAAACTATAATTTAATGTTTAATGTTTGCCCACAAACTTTAAAATTACTATGCTAACTTTATTTTTACTAGAGTAAGTTTTGGGAAATCAGCGAAATTTTATGCAAACTTGGAGAAAACAGAAATGTATTTCTTTTAAAATCTGAAATCCCAAAATCCACAAAGCTGTAAAAATTTAAGTTTTTGTTTTTACTCATAGAATAACTCGATTATGAAGAAAATTAGATGAATAAGGAATATATAGAGCAGTTTGGGATGTGTGCAATTTGGGATGTGTATATTCTTTGACTGATGCAAATGAAGTTGTCTTAGACCTACCATGTCAACAGTTTATATGATGATTGATGTTCATAATGATATCTGAGGTGTAATTATTTCATGAAATACCAATTGCATTAATAAATAGGTTAAATAATGTCTGTTTCTGTTTTGTTAGTAATTTCATTATATTGTAATTTTTGGAAAATTGAGTAGTTACTATATATGATAATTCTCAATTAACAAATATATTTTTCAATCATGTTGGATAATTAAAAGTCTGTGTAACAGTCTGACATTTACAGTAATGTTTCTTCTCGTTGTCATATAAAAAATATTAATTCTGGGAATTTAATATAAAGTTATCAATTGTCCTGATTTACAGCTGTCTGTATTACTTGTAGGTCTGATTACCATTTTTTATATTACCATTTATTTTACATCTTTATAATAGATTATAATAGATTACCATTTATTTTATATCTTTGCAGATGTTGATCCTACCTGAATTACCCATGATAAAATGCTGCTAATAAAAAGTGGTCTCACAGCAGATTTGTTTTTCAGTGACATTTTTTAAGTTATTGTAATCTTTACATTGTCCTATATAGGCCAGGCATGGTGGCTCATGCCTGTAATCCCCGCAATTTGGGAGGCTGAGGCCGGTGGATCATGAGCTCGGGAGACCAGCCTGGCCAATATGGTGAAACCCTATCTCTACTAAAAATACAAAAATAAGCTGGGCATGGTGGTGTGTGCCTATAGTCCCAGCTGCTTGGGAGGCTGAGGCAGGAGAATCACTTGAACCCAGGAGGCGGAGGTTACAAGTGAGCCAAGATCGCACCATTGCACTCCAGTCTGGGTGACAAAGTGAGACTCTGTCTCAAAAATAAATAAATAAATAAATAAATAAATAAATAAATAAATAGTCCTATATAAATGTATTGCAAAATAGGAGTATTTCTTGATAAATTCAGTCTTTTCAACCAAAATTTAAAATAATTTGTGGCATTATTTTTGTTCTTTATGAACTTTGGGTACAACTGTGTTTGTAATTATTGTGTTTGTTGCCCCAGGTTTTTCCTAAACCATATAATATAATAAGCCCAATTTTGAATGCTGTCATACTTTATCAAAAACCTTTACTAGGCTGAGCGCAGTGGCTCACGCCTGTAATCCCAGCACTTTGAGAGGCCGAGGCAGGCGAATCACGAGGTCAGGAGATCAAGACTATCCTGGCAAACGTGGTGAAACCCCATCTCTACTAAAAATACAAAAATTGGCTGGACATGGTGGCATGTGCCTGTAGTCCCAGCTACTCGGGAGACTGAGGCAGGAGAATCCCTTAAACCCGGGAGGTGGAGCTTGCAGTGAGCCGAGATCGTGCCACTGCACTCCAGCCTGGTGACAGAGTGAAGACTGTCTCAAAAAAAAAAAAAAAAGTATACTAGTACAAGCCATAAATGGATAGAAGAAAATATTCTCATAAATCAATTTCAACGACTGTGTATAATTTATATTTAATAAAATTTACCCATTTTGAATCATAAATGAATTTTTTTTTTTTTTTTTTTTTTGAGACAGAGTATTACTGTTGCCCAGGCTGGAGTGCAGTGGCGTGATCTCAGCTCACTGCAACCTCCACCTTTCTGGTTCAAGCCATTCTGGTGCCTCAGCCTCCCAAGTAGGATTATAGGCATACACCACCACACCCAGCTAATTTTTGTATTTTTAGTAGAGACGAAGTTTCACCACGTTGGCCAGGCTAGCCTCAAACTTTTGGCCTCAAGTGATCCACCCACCTTGACTTCCCAAAGTGCTGAAATTACAGATGTGAGCCACCGTACCTGGACTAAATTTTTTATGTATTTGAATTTTTTAAAATTAGAATAATGTTTTAGAACAGGTGAGATTAACCTATTAACTGACTATTGATTCAATCTTTTTGTGTTGTGTTGTGTTTTATATTTGTAAACAGAAAAACTAAATGACAAATAATTATGAAAGTAGGCATCCATTTGAATTAAAGATCCTGAAGAAGAGAGAACTATTATCCACAGTTAATCCTTTAATAGTTGTCAGGACATAGTAATAATATAGAGCTTAATTTTGGAATATAAGCATGAATTATCTCTCCAGGGAATTTTTATGTGGCTCATATATGTATGATTTATTTGAATATTCACTGCAGTTACATACTCTTATGGCATTTTGAACTTACATGATTATGAAGAAGAAAGTTAATTAAAAAAGAGAAAAGCTTTTTTTTTCTTTTAATTTAGAAAGGTGTTACAGAAGATGGCTGGAACTGCATTTCTTGCCCTAGTGGCTTAACTGCCGAAGGAAAATGCCACTGTCCCGCTGGCCATATTTTAGGTAAGAATTAGATTCCTTACAAAGAAGTAGTGATAAATCTTCACTTGTGTTTTTGTTTTTGTTTTTTGTTTTTTGAAAAAGGCATTAATTTAAATAGTTAAACGATTACTTAATATTTTTGTAGTGGTTCAAGCAATCCTCCTGCCTCAGCTTCCTGAGTAGCTAGGACTGCACACATACACCACTGCAGCTGGCTAATTTTTAAATTTTTTGTAGAGACTGGGTCTTGTTATGTTGCCCAGCCTGGTCTTGAACTCCTGGCCTCGAGAGATCTTCCTGCCTCAGCCTCCTAAAGTGCTGGGATTATAGGCATCAGTCACTGTGTCCAGCCCTTAATAGTGTTTATAAAAATTATTTTTGTACAAATTTAGTGATACTTAAGACATCAGCAGGCATTGAGAAGAAAATACAGAGTTTTGTCTGAGTTTTTTGAAACTCTTAATTGTGTAGGATTAGATGGTTACTTCTTTAACATAACATGATAAAATATGTACGTCTCAACTCAAAAACCAAGTTGATGCTTAATAGGGAAAAAGTGTAAGCGTTCCTATTAATGTCAGGACCTGGAAAAGGATGCAAACTATGCACTTAAGTAAGAGAAAAAAAATATTTATCACTGGAAAAGAAAAGGTAGGCCGTTAATCCCAACATTTTGGAAGGCCAAGGCAGGTGTATTGTTTGAGCTTAAGAGTTCGAGACCAGTCTGGGCAACACAGTGAAACCCCATCTCTACAAATAAAAAAGAAATTATTCAGGTATGGTGGCATGCACCTGTAGTCCCAGCTACTCGAGAGGCAAAGGTGGGAAGATCGCTTGAGCCTGGAAGGTTAAGGCAGCAGTGAGCTGAGATGGTGCCACTACACTCCAGCCTGAGCGACAGGGTAAGACCCTGTCTCAAACAAACAAGCAAAAAAAGTAAAATATCATTGTTTACAGATTATTTGATTGTATGTTTAAAACACCCAAGAGAATGGCTAAAAATTACTATAAACAGTGATGAAAGAAAATACCTCATATACAATAGCAACAAAAAAGAAAAAATAAGTAGGTATATATTTTTTTTTAATTTTAATTTTTGGATTTTTTTTTGAGACAAGAGTTTTCACTGTTGTTGCCCAAGCTAGAGTGCAATGGTGCAATCTCAGCTCACTGCAGCCTCCCTCCAGGTTCAAGCGATTCTCCTGCCTCAGCCTCCCGAGTAGCTGGGATTACAGGCATGTGCCACCACGCCTGGCTAATTCTGTATTTTTAGTAGATAATAGGGTTTCTCCATGTTGGTCAGGCTGGTCTTGATCTCCCGACCTCAGGTGATCTGCCCGCCTCAGCCTCCCAAAGTGCTGGGATTACAGGCTTGAGCCACTGCACCTGATCTTGGCATATACTTTAGAAGGAATGTACAACATAATTAATTGAAGAAATTTGTGAGTATTACTGAGGGATATGAAGGCAGGCTTTTATAAGTGAAAATGCATTCTCTATTTTTGCATGGGAAGATTAAATATTAGAAAGATGTCAACTCTCCTACCAGACTGTATATTTTAAAGGACCCTCGGAAATTCTATCAGGTTATTATTTGTTTGTTTTGGGGTAATATATAAATAGATTCTGAAGTTTATCAGGAAAGATATATGAGATCTAAGAAAATTCTGGGAAGGGAAAGAAGGAACTACCCCATCAGATAATATGCATGTTATATAGCTACTATAATCACATGTATGACAGGCTTATGAGTACACAGACTGATTGATGGAACTTAGACAATCAGAATAGATTCAATTCATGGGAATTTGGTATGTGCAAAAAGTGGCATTTCATCCAAGTGGGGATAAAACTGATAAATGGTGCTGGGAAAACTGAGAAAACACCAAGTTGGGTTTCTACCTTATTTCTGAGAAAATTAAACTCCAAATGAATCAAATACTAAATATGAATATATGAAAGTTCTTAAAGAAAATGTAGGAAAAACTTGTATAGTTTTGTTGTAATAGGCCTAAGTATGACCAAAAAAATCACTTTGGAGGCCTAGGTGGGAGGATTACTTGAGCCAAGGAGTTCCTGACCAGCCTGGGCAACATAGAGAGACTCTGTCTCTACAAAAAAAAAAAAAAAAAAAAAAAAAAAAAAGACAAAAAGAAAAAGAAAAGAAAAACCACAGAAGGAAAAATTGGTGAATTTATAAAATGCCATAAAAATTATAATACCAAAAACCAAACTACAAACTAAAGAAAAATATTAATGCATACAATAGACAGAGGTCAAAGTTCTTCAATAAATGTAAAAGTCCTACAGATAAATAAAAGTAAGATGAATAGCCCAATTTTTAAAATAGCCAAAAATCATAAATAAAGTTCACATAAAAAAAAACATGAGAAAAAATGTTGAACCTTACTCGGAATAAGAAAATGTACATTAAAGCTAAAATGAGATTTTATTTTTAACCTACCAGATTTTATTATAAAACTTTTTCGAACAGGCACAGTGGCTCACACCTGTAATCCAGCACTTTGGGAGGCCGAGGTGGGCAGATCACCTGAGTTCAGGAGTTCAAGACCAGCCTGAGTAACGTAGCCACTACTAAAAATTCAGAATTAGCCAGGCATGGTAGCACATGCCTGTAATCCCAGTTTCTTGGAGGCTGAGGCAGGAGAATTGCTTGAACGCAGGAGGTGGAGGTTGCAGTGAGCCAAGATCATGCCATTGCACTCCAGCCTGGGCAACAAGAGTGAAATTCCATATGAAAACAACAAAAAGAAACTTTTTCAACTTTGACAATGTATTTATAAGGATACAGGGAAATGGTTATTCATGTATTAATAGGGAAAATTATAAGTTGGTGCAACCTCTGTGGAGAGCAAATTTACAGTGTTTATCAAAATTAAAAATACAGATTATCTTTGCCTAGAAAGCTCTCATCTAGAAATTTCTCATTTGGATACACTTAACTATATGCCTGAAGAAGTGTTGAATGTTTTTTTTCTTGCAACATTATTCCTGAGACAAAAGATTGTAAACAATATAAGAGTCTATCAAGATGAGATCAGCCAAATAAATTATGATATAGTCATACAATGGTATAGAATGCAATTGTGGAAAAATAAAGAGGCAGTTCTACACATATTACTATGGAAAGAAATCTAAGATATATTGAGTAAAAAAGCAAGATATAGAATAATTTATTCATTCATCTACAAGTATTTATTGAGTACCTGTTATTTATCAGCACTATTTTATGTATTTGGTATTCCACTATTTAGCTTTTTAAAGACCATTATATATGCATATGTGCTTGTATATACACAGGCTATTTCTGAAAAGATTCATAAGAAACTGGTAACAATGCTGCCTCCTGAGTGAAGAACTGAGTGCCTCGGAATGGCAGGAAAGATACCTAATTTTCATTTTAAATCCTTTTGTGCTTGGTGCGGTGGCTCACGCCTGTAATTACAGCACTTTGGGAGGCCAAGGCAGGTGGATCACCTGAGGTTAGAAGTTCGAGACCATCCTGGCCAACATGGTGAAACCCCATCTCTACTAAAAATACAAAAATTAGCTGGGCATGGTGGCAGGTGCCTGTAGTCCCAGCTACTTGGGAGGCTGAGGCAGGAGAATCACTTGAATCTGGGAGGCGGAGGTTACAGTGAGTGAGATCATGCCACTGCGCTCCAGCCTGGGTGACATGAGCAAAACTGTCTCAAAAAATAAAATAAATCCTTTTGTGCCTTTTATTTTTATATTTTATATATTACCCATTCAAAGATTAATTTTTAAATTATCTCAATTTTTTTTTTTTTCCTCGTTTCAACAAATTTTTTTGTAGTGATGGGGGTCTTACTATATATCTCAGGCTGGTCTCGAACTCCTGACCTCAAGCCGTCCTCCTGCCTTGACCTCCCCATATGTTGGGATTAGAGTTGCCTGGTCTTCTTTTTTTTAGAGACGAGATCTTGTTATGTTACCCAGGCTGGATTCAAACTCCTGGGCTTAAGCAATCTACCGCACCCGGCTTCTTAGTAGTTTCGTTGGCACTCTTGCCTCCATTGAAAATATTAACTTGATTCTCACAGTATTTTGGGGGTGTATTCTTAGGGATGGGGCTAATGAAAGTTTTATGAGTTGGATGGCAATAAGAAATTTGTTACACTTCATGATGTACTATTTCCACTGTAAATTTTAGGATTATGGGAAGATGAAGGTAAGTCAGATTTAATCATAAATTTGGAATAAAAAACTGTTAAGGCCAAATATGCTGGCGTTTGTTTAAAGTAGTGCAGTTCAGTAGAAATACAATGCAAACCAAATATGTAATTTTTAATTTTCTTGTCTATACATTAAAAAAAGTAAAAAGAAACATGAAATGAATTTTAATAATATACTTTATTTAGCCTAATATTATTTAAAATATTATCCTTTGAACAGGTAATCAAGGTGAACAATTTTTGAGATATCTTCATTCTTTTTCTTTTTTTTTTTTTTTTTTTGAGACAGAGTTTCACTCTTGTCGCTCAGGCTAGAGTGCAATGGCACAATCTCGGCTCACTGCAACCTCTGCCTCCCAGGTTCAAGTGATTCTTCTGCCTCAGCCTCCTGAGTAGCTGTGACTACAGGCACCTGCCACTGCGCCCAGCTAATTTTTGTATTTTTTAGTAGAGATGGGGTTGTACCATGTTGACCAGGCTGGTCACAAACTTCTGACCTCAGGTGATCCACCCGCCTTGGCCTCCCAAATTGCTGGAATTACAGGCATGAGCCACCATGCTTAGCCCGTTCTTTTGTTCTTAATAAATTTTTGAGATTTCAATTCTGGCTAGGCACATTTCAAGTGGTCAGTAATCACAAGTGGCTAGTAACCACAGTCAACAGTAACTGTATTGGACAGCACAAGTTAGTATCAAGAGAAAATACATACTGGTACACTTGATATCAGCCATGTGTGTAAGCCAGTTAATTACTGGAAGAATAAAAACTAGTTTGAAATCTTATATAGTTAACCACTCAAGTTATGTTTCTATTACTATAGCTATGTTATTGTAATTCTTGTAATTCTTCATTCCTTAAATTAGATGCTCTTGAGATATCTGTGGATGAGAAGTAGGGGAAAGGAACGTTCTTTGCTGCTTTCTCTAAACAGTGGCTCTGACATCTTCTGGCCCCTTCGGGTTAGGTTACAGCTGTGGAAACAGTATTTTGCTATTTTAGAGGGTACTATTTTGTGATTAAAATTCTCTATGGTGCAAGAGAAGGGAGAGAGAATAGGGTATTATTTTACATACATTATCATGGTAGTCCTCTCTGGAAAGGTGAAATCTAAGAAAGACTTGAAGGAAGGGAGGGACAGAGCCATGAAGATGCCTGGGGAACATCATTCTAAGCAGAGGGAATAGCAAGTACTAAGGTTCTAAGATGGGAGTATATTTGGCATTTTTCAGAGAACAGAAGGTACACTAATGTGGCTAAAGCAAAGAAGTAAAGTAAAGTGGAAGCATCTGGGTCTGAAAAATTGGGGTGATAGTGTACAGATCATGTAAGACCTTTATGCTGTGTTAGTGACCTTTGAAATTGTCTTATGTGAGATGGGAGGCCATTTGGAAGGTTTTAAGCAAAAGAGTGACATGATCACACTGAAGTTTTAAAAGCTTCACTTTAGCTTCTGCATGGAGCACAAAACCAGCACTCCAGTTAGATGCTTTTACAAAAGCCCAGGTGATAGATGATGGTGCTTGGGCCAGAGTTTTTTCTTTTTTCTTTCTTTTTTTTTATTTATTTTTATTTTTTATTTTTGGACAGGCTTTTGCTCTGTCACCCAAGCTGGAGGGCCGTGGCATTATCACAGCTCACTGCAGCCTCGACCTCCTGGGCTCAAGTGATCCTCCTGCCCCAGCCTCCTGAGTAGCTGGGACTACAGGCACGTGCCACCACACCCAGCTCTGTGTGTGTGTGTGTGTGTGTGTGTGTAGAGATGAGGTTTTGCTATGCTGTCCAGGCTGGTCTTGAATGCCTGGCCTCAAGCAATCATCCTGCCTTGGCCTTCTGAAATACTGGGATTACGAGATGAGCCACTGTACCCGGCAGACCACGATGAGCCACTGTACCCGGCAGGCCACGATATTAGTTGTAGAGGTAGAGAAAATAATTCTGTTTCTGAATATATTTTGAAGAGAGAGCTGACAGAATTTGCACATTAATTTTTTTATTTTTTATTTTTAATATGGAACATGAGGAGACTCTTAAGGACTGGGACCACAGTAAATGGTCAAATGGAGCTGTCATTTATTGAGACAGGGATGACTGTAGGAGGAACAAGTTGCTCATCTTTACTTTTGTTAAAATTATTTTTTACTACCATGCAAAAACTTAAAACATTATGGATAAGACTAAAGTCCTTTGACCATTTTTCCCAATACTGTTTTTCTATTGCTCCTTCAACCCCAAAGTAACTGGTTATTTTTGTGTGTGTGTGTGTGTACATGTGTGTGTGCACGTGTGTGTGTGCACATTCAGAATTTTTTCCCTGTTATAAGGATCTACATTATATAGCCACAGGAAACATAAGTGGTATGTTTGCATAAATGTTTCATACACAAATATTGTTCTAGCATACTTTTTTCAATTAGTGGTATACTCTGATACTCTGTTAGATGTAGCTGATTTTTTTTTTTTTTTTTTTTTGAAGCAGGGTCTCACTCTAGCCCAGGCTGGAGTGTAGTGGTGTGATCTCAGCTCACTGCAACCTCCACCTACCAGGTTCAAGCAATTCTCATGCCTCAGCCGCCTGAGTAGCTGGGATTACAGGCACAAGCCACCACGCCCAGCTAATTTTTGTATTTTTTTTTAGTAGAGACAAGGTTTTGCCATGTTGGCCAGGCTGGTCTTGAACTCCTGGTCTCATGTGATCCACCCACCTTAGCCTCCCAAAGGGCTGGGATTGCAGGCATGATCCTCCTCACCTGGCCTTACCTGATTCTTTTTCATCTGTTTCATAGTATTTTGTAGCATGAATATACCACCATTCTGCTATTTTAAATATTCATGTTGTTTCTAACAAATAATGCTTCAATGAATATACCTATGTACATGTTCAAGTGTTTCTGTAGGTTAGGTATCTAAAAACAAAATTGTAGTGTTGTAAGGATGTGAATTTGAAACTTTAATAGATACTACTAAAAGCCTTCTAAGTTGCAGAAACTTATCAGTAATCTACGAAAATACTTGCTTCACTATCCCAGTGTGACAGAAATGTATAGATAAGAGGTAAGACAATTTTGAGGAAAAAAATACTGACTTAATTGTTATGATGACTTAGAAAATGGTTTTCTGTATTTTACTATGTGAAAATAGGGAAGACATCACTTCTCGTTTTTTTTTTGGAGGCATGGATGGGTATGAAGGGATCACTTCTCTATACTTTATTATGGAGATACTTGTTATGCCTTTAATGCAAATAAAGTGTTTTTGAAAATTAATAGAATAATAGTTACACTTGGGTTTTGTTAAATATTTTCGGAATATGTAGAAGCTTATATGTTTACTATGAGTTACATCTTTTTTTTGTTTCTAAACTGTTCAGTGGAAAGAGATATTAATGGAACATTGTTGTCTCAAGCAACTTGTGAGCTCTGTGATGGAAATGAAAACTCTTTTATGGTAGCAAATGCTTTAGGAGACAGGTAAGCAGTGTGATGGGGCTGGCTTCATTAATATCATCTTATACTAATGTATAATTTGTACTTTTAAGAATGTTTTCCTATCATATCACTTAGTTCACTTAGTTTTCACAATAACCCAAGGAAGGATAGAAGTAGACATTAACAGATACAGAAGCTGATGCCTAGAGCATGAGACACACTAGGGTTCAAATTTTGGTTCAGTCTATTAGTTGTCTGACCATGGATAGCTCACTACTTCACAATCCCTCGTCTTTGGAATGGTATTATTGCCACCCACTTCATAGGCTGTAATGGCTCAGAAATAAGTAAGTACAGTTCTTAGTATAGTGCTACATAGTAACCACTCTGTAAAGAGTAGCTATTTTTGTTTGTTGTTATATAATTGGTATATAATCTATAATATAATTATGTGCTAAGTACTATACTAAAGCCCTTATAATACGTAAAACATTAATGTATACTAATCATAGCCCAGGTACCCTGATTTATAGTCCCATTTTCTGTTGCTTCCTGTTCCCCCTTTGTGCATGTGTTTGTGAAACACACACACACACACACACACCCCTGCCTGCCTATATACTTCCCTCTAATTTAAGCATATATACCAATTTCAGCTTCTTTAATTTTTTTAGAGGCCTACATCATGACTTCCCTCCAGGCACAGTTTTTTCTTTAGTTTCCAAGTTTAATATAGAAAATAGCTGAGCAACTTTTCTGAGGGCTACTTAGTGTTGGATCATCTTTTCTCTAAGGCTGACCTGAGTTACGGCATCCAAATACCGATTTTTTTTGCCCCTCTAATATTTCCCCAAGCCTCGTCTGTTTTACATCATGCCCCAGCCCCACTCCTACCTGCTCTATTTTGCAAGTGAAGAATACCTATATATTCACTCATCACTGGTCCAGTACCCTCCCCCATCTATCTCATTCATTAATGAAAAATATGAAGTATTTTTCTAAAATAAACAAAGATGATAAATAGAATTTATTTAAAAGTGTTGGCTGTAGCTTTGATAGGAGCTATTTCTGCATTTCTCTTCAGCTTATGCTACCTTTTTACTTTGTGGCACATAAAATAAGGAAAGTATATTTGATATAACTAATTGTAAAAATTGATTGGGTTTCATTTATATGAGTTTGTTGGTCTCTTTTGTTAGTTGAGTGACTTAATTATCTTTGATATTCAGAATTATTCATTCTGTACATTCCATGTAGTTAAAAAATACTCTTCTATTGATTAGTTTTACTTACTTTATACTTTGTAACACAGAATGGCCTAAAACTATTCAAATCCATGTTATTTTAAATTTGTTTAACATATTTACATAATTGCTCACTGAATGAATCTACTCTAATCCATTGTTTAGAAAGACAACTTTTCTATTAAATTAGGTTTAGTATAATTTATTAACATTTTAAAAATTATTTTTGTTATATTGAACAGGTGCATCCGATGTGAGCCAACATTTGTTAATACCAGCAAGTCCTGTGCATGTTCAGAACCTAACATTTTAGTAAGGCTAACCAAATTGATAAAGTATATATATTTTTAATTCAATTGCTTATGCCTTTTCATAAGCTTCTATTTTTTCCCTCATTTATTTATAAAGACAGGGGGATTATGTTTCAGCAACACAGGGAATTTTCCTCTACGTAGAATTTCAACTGCACGTTATGGAGAAGTTGTGAGTATGCTTCAATTTTTTTGTTCTGTTGTTAAGAAATTTTCTACATTTCATCCATTAGTAATTAATTTCAGGCTAGAATGAGAAACACTTTTGTATAAATCATTTTAAAACAGAAAAAAATCAATCTAAGAAAAAAACAAAATCAATCTAAGAAACATTAGTCTAATAATTCAGCATTATAATTTCTAAGTACAGTACTGAGTCTGTACCATAGCCTGTTTGTTTTTCAGTGTGCTACAGAATGTTTACACCAGAAATATCTGGTATATGTTCTGTGTAGGATGCAGTATAATGCATTTACGGGCACCAGAAACTCTAGATTTGAACCCTGGATTTGCAAGTCATTAGTTTTGTATCCTTGGACCTTGAGAAGATTTCAAAGCTTCAGTTGATTGTCTGTAAATTGGACATAATAAAAATACCTTTATCACAGTGTCTGTACATAGTAATCATTAGAGAAATCAGGATTAATTTCATTTGGCCAGATTATTCCTTATTATTTTATTTTATTTTTGTTTGAGATGGAGTCTTGCTCTGTTGCCCAGGCTGGAGTGCTGTGGCACAGTCTCGGCTCACTGCAACCTCCGCCTCCCAGGTTCGAGCGATTCTCCTGCCTCAGCCTCCCAGGTAGCTGGGATTATAGGCACCTGCCACCACGCCTGGCTAATTTTTTGCATTTTCAGTAGAGACAGGATTTCACCATGTTGGCCAGGCTGGTCTCGAACTCCTGACCTCGTGATCCACCCACCTCAGCCTCGCAAAGTACTGGGATTACATGCATGAGCCACCACACCCAGCCCATTGTTTCTTATTTTATGGATGAGAGCATTGAGGCCTAGAGTTAGAGCTTTGGCAGCAGGTGCTGGTGATAACCACTTCTAGGGTATAAAATGGAAAGTAAGTAGAGGAATTGGAACTACAGAAGTTGCAAATCAGAGAGAACGGGAGTTAGATGACTGAGAGTTAGAATAGGAATTAATGAATGAACATTGAAGATGCTTAGTACGCCAGAGTTAAGGGTGGACAAAGTGTGATCTGGTTGTTAATATTATTGTTAATATTATTATTGAATATAGGAGTGATTAAGAGGACTGCGAGGATAGCAATAATGAGGGTGGGATCTAGGATCTTGATGAATCCGGCAAAAATTCCTCTCCTCCAGTATAGTTTTGTGAGGAAGACAGGCAAGTACCAAGTAGTTACAAGACAGCAAAATAAAAGCTAAAATACATAGGGAGCTCTGAGATTATCCAAAAATTGGCTGATCTGTAACAAGATATGTGTCTTCTGGGGCATTCTTCTCCAGATTGGAGTGCATATCTGTATATGATTATTAAATTTGCAGGCCTTTAATTTTCCTTTTTTCCTTTTTCAAAAAATTTAAGTTGAAATAATTTTGCTGGAAGTCCCAGCAATGACTCTTTGTTCTTTCTGGTCTGAGATCCCCAATCATTTAGTGGTCATGTCCCTTTAGCTTCCTCCAATCTGAAACTAGGTCCTCAGTGTTTTCCTGTCTTTCGTGAATGCAACAGTTTTGAAGATTACAGGCCTTACCATCCTATAGATACTTTCCTCATACTAAGTACCTGCTTAGATGAAAGCCACAAAAAAGATGTCGTGTTCTTCTCAGTGGACTGCATCACATCCAGAGGCACACAGTATCTACCTGTGCCACCGCTGATGCTGTTAACCTTGATCACCTGCCCTAAAGTCACCATGACTACCATAAAGTTACCATTTACCATTTGTAATTGATTAGTATTTTGTGAGGCGTATTTCTGAGATTACACTTCCTCACTAACTTACACTTCCTCACTAGATTACACTTCCTCACTAACCTTTAACTCCATTGTTGACCACTACTGTGATGGTTGCCAAAGGTTAATTTTTTATTTCCATCCACATTTGATTACTTCCACATTTGTTAATTGACATTCTATTATAAGGAAGAACTATCTCTTCTTCCCAATTTATACACTTATTTTTTAAAATTAATGTCCATGTGGATATGTGGGTTCCTAATTTATTCAGTTAGTTATAATCCGGCATACTCATTATTTGTTTAGGTGTTCAAATTGTCCTATATCTGGAATAAAAGTCCCTTCAAGTTGGCTCCTGCGTGGTTTTTTTTTTTTCTTTGACATGTTCCCATCATTCTTTGAAGATTTGCTTACTTTATGGTACAAGATTTATAGGCTAAGCTTGTACTTTTCCTGCCTCAGACCTGGAATCAACCATTTCTTTCTTTCTTTCTTTCTTTCTTTTTTTTTTTTGAGACGGAGTTTCACTCTTGTTGCCCAGGCTGGAGTGTAATGGCACAATCTCAGCTCGCCGCAACCTCCACCTCCCGGGTTCAAGTGGTTCTCCTGCCTCTGCCTCCCAAGTAGCTGTGATTATAGGCATGCGTCACCACACCCAGCTAATTTTTGTATTTTTACTAGAGACAGAGTTTCTTCATGTTGGTCAGGCTGGTCTCGAACTCCCGACCTCAGGTGATGCCCACCTCGGCCTCCCAAAGTGCTGGAATTACAGGCATGAGCCACCGCACCTGGCCGGAATCAGCCATTTCCTTAATCAGTTTCTTAGGATAATATTTAGAAACCGAGATTAACACGCTTAGTATGTCCTCTCACCAAACATAGCTAGGAAATATACACATATATACATACACACATCTATGACTATTTCTGTGTCTGTGTATATATACTAAAAGGGCTGGGCGTGGTGGCCTGTAATCCCAGCACTTTGGGAGGCCGAGGCAGGTGGATCACTTGAGGTCAGGAGTTTGAGACCAGCCTGGCCAACATGGTAAAACCTCGTCTCTACTAAAAATACAAAAATTGGCTGGATGTGGTGGTGTGCTCCTGTAATCCCAGCTACTCGAGAGGCTGAGACGGGAGAATCACTTGAACCTGGGAGGTGGAGATTGCAGTGAGCCAAGATCGCGCCACTGCCTTCCAGCCTGGGTGACAGAGCAAGACTCTGTCTCAATAAAATAAAATAAAATAAATAAAATAAAAAAATAAAATAAAATAAAATAAAATAATAAAATCTCATACTGATCCCTTTAATTCTGAAGCAGTACTTCAGGGTTCTTTCTCACCTTTCCGTTTGATAGGTTTGAAGTATCTTCTCCAGGAGTGAGAAATCTGGGGTTCATTATCCTCAATTTATTTATATGCTCAATGTGACCAATCTTCCAACCCCCTCACTTTCTGTTCCACCCCCACATTCTCCCTCGTCTGCTAGCACCGTGCAGTTGACCCATTATAGACTTCTTTCATAGGTGGGTAGGGAAGAACTGTTCCATCCTTAATGTTGTTCTGATTCAGTTAATGTATTTCATTTAAACATACCAGATTTTTTTAAAGTTAAAAATAATTTAAAACTAAATTTTTAAAAAAACAAAACCATCTCGACCCTCCCCAAAACTTTCCAGGTCCCACATGCAGACACTGCAGTGGCGACTGGAGGATTGGGCACTGGAAACAGGAAGGACACCACTGCTCGGCCTGGGTCACCTGAGGGACAACCTGGAGCACTCCAGGAGCACAGTAAAGGTCTAGCAGAGCCAACACTGGTGCAAGCAGGGAAGAGCAGCCTGATGGGCTTGTGGGGTAGCTCTCGCCACTGTGAAGAAAGGCTGCCTGGAAGGCAATGGCCATAAGAGGCCAGCAAGGGGTGCCTGCTGTCTCAGAGGATCCCCCAGTCCTCCCAAGATGCCATGAGGCAGAGGGTGGAGGAAACGAGGTCAGCCGGATTCCACATCCCTGCATCCCACATACTGCCCAAGGGCAGGGAGGAGAGGCGAGGGGCCCACAGGAGGGATGAGAAGAGTGGTTCCATTTGCCATGAATGTCTGTCTCTCATCTGTTGAGGCTCAGACCTGGCCAGGGAGAGCATGACATCACCACAGCAATTGTGCACTGAACATACCAGTTCTGAACACTGATTCTTTCCTAAGGACAGATTTGAGATTCCTGATTTTAAGTCATGTTGCAGCTGCTTTTCAGATTGGTGCCGTGTAGCCAGAGTATAAAACGTGTAAGCAAAATCTAGTTAAGATGTTTTGACTACCCTAGCGTAGTCTCAGTTTGCAAGAATAAGAACTCAATTTTATCCATGTACTTGTAAGTCAGTCAGATTCTGAGGGCTTGTTTAAAGTAATTAAACTCAGATGAGATTAGATTAATTGATAAACCAGAATACATGTTTATTAGTTTTATGTTAAGACTGTAATTGCCAATTAGACTGAAATATTTGTATTGACTCCATAACATACATTCTTCCTAATTGGAAAAGTCTACTTTGAACATTAAGGTTGGAAGTTTTCTTAGAGAACAACATTGGAACATAATTCTGTTTGTATAATTTTATAACAAGGCATCCAATCCTACTCATCCTACTCTTGGAATATACTTGCCAATCAGAAAAAATTTTCACATACTTGAGTTAGTGTCTCCCCATTCCCTTTCCCTCAAAGACATTAATAGTGAACTATCTTTGTGGTTTTTGGTTTTCCCAACTTTTATTTTGAAAAATTCAAAATTGCAGAAAAACTGAAAGAATTAAACAATGACTATGCATATGTCTTTCACCTAGGTTAACGAATTATTAATGTTTTGCCACATTTGCTTTATCTCTCTCTATATATAGATATATACACACACACAATATTTTTTCCCCTGAGCCATTTGAAAATAAGTTGTAGACATAATGACATTGCACTCCAAATACTTTAGTGTGAATCTCCAAAGAATAAGGCATTTTCCTAGAATCACACCCAAGGAATTTAAAATTAACATAATATTATTAACTGATATTCATTCATACCCAAATTTTCCCAGTTGTTCAAAAGTGTTCTTTATTCTCCCTGCCTTTTTTGGAGAAAGGGATACCTAGGATCCAATCAAGGACTAACTGCAGTTAGTCTTTCTAGTGTCCTTTAATTTAGAACATATCCCTGCTTCACTTTGCTTTTGTGGTTTTCTCCTCTATTTTTCTGATTGTTTTCTCATGATTAGACTCAGTGAAACATATTTTTGCAAGATATTATATAGATGTTGTATACCTCCCATTGCATCACAACAAGGGGTATGTAATGTCTGTCAGGTTGTCCAGTTATTGGTGATACTAAATTTGATTGCTAGGCTGGGCGTGGTGGCTTACTCCTGTAATCCCAGCACTTTGGGAGGCTGAGGCAGGTAGATCACCTGAGGTCAGGAGTTCGAGACCAGCCTGGCCAACATGGTGAAACCTCAGCTCTACTGAAAATACAAAGATTAGCCAGGCATGGCAGCAGGCTCCTGTAACCCCAGCTACTCGGGAGACTGAGGCAGGAGAATTGCTTGAACAGAGGAGGCGGAGGTTGCAGTAAGCCAAGATCGCACCATTGCACTCCAGCCGAGGCAACAATAACGAAACTCCGTCTCAAAAAAAAAATTGATTTCTTGTTCATAGTTGTGTCTGTCACTTCTCTCCATTGTAAAGGTATTGTGATTAATACGTTAGTCTGAGACAATGTAAATTATCCATATCCATTTTAGTATTCATTAATGAATCTTGCCTGTATCAGTTATTAAACTGGTAATTTCTAATAACAATCCTATTATTCCCTCTACATTTATTAGCTAGCAATTGTCTGTAGAAGCACTTTACTTTTTCTCTGTGCTTTTTTTCTTTTTAAAAAAAAGCTTTATTATGAACTCATAGAATCTTTGTTTACTCATTGTGTTATAATCTGTTACTGTTATTCTTCTTTTCGAAGTTCAAGTTGTACCAAATTTGAACTTCCTTTCAGCATAGCTCCTGTGTTTTTTTGACGTGACTTTAGACTTTAGGGATTTCTTTGGTTTCTCTATACCATGTTCCAGATTCACCTTATATAATTATATTTTTTAATAGTTCCACAATATTCTGGCTTATGCATTAAAATTTGTATAATGGTATCTCCAGAGAATATTTAGGTTTTCAGTTATTAACTATATTGCCATCAACCATTTTATGCACATAAATGTTTTCCCATTTAGAGGGATTATTGCTTTAAGATAAATTTCCTAAGTGTTCCTAAATTTCTGGGTTAGAGTATATGGATATTGCTTTATAAAAGCAACTTTAACACTATCAGTGGCATAGTATGTGGCTCCATTTTACATACATTTGTCAGTACTGTTTTGTTGCATTTCATTTTTTACCAGTTTGTGTGCATGTGTTCCCCAGCCTTCTATGCATATTTTTTCTTACAAAATAACTTTTGCTTATTAAATATGCAAAAATAGTACCTCATAATTTTATTATAGATTTCTCTGATCACTGTGGTGCCATATTCATATAATTTAGTTGTATCACTTATGTGTGTGCCCAGACAATTTTCTCTGAATGGTGCTTCTTAGTTTCTCATATTTTAGCAAGATGTGCAGATAGGCTTTAAAGCAATGTTTTTTAACTAGAGGTTTTTATCTGTAACCTTCAAAACCCATGTAATTGCTTTGGTCTCATCTGGAGATACTGATTCCTTTTTGTTTGGGATGAAGCCAGGTGTGTTTTGTTTTTAGAAAGTTCTGCAGGTGATTGTGATGCCCACGATTGTTTGAGAACCACCACTTTGGAGACGTGAAATTATTTCCCCCCATTTTGTTTTATAGCTTGCCAGTTCAGTACAGTATTTACAATAATTCTAAACCAGTAAATGTTAACCACTCAATACTAAGTCAGGATCTGTTATTTTTTCTTTTGCCACTTTATTTTTTATGTTAGTGAAATAAGCATGTAGTATTTTTGGATTATAGACACATTTTGTCTTGTTATATCTTTTGCCTAAGTGTGATTATTTTGTAATGCGGTCCTATTTATAATAACTGACATTGGTTAAAATCAATTCTTGTATTCCTATTGGTATCTTTTTTCTACTAACATTGTGAAAGTAATGTGAGACATTTCCCATTCAACAATATGCATATTGAGATCATTTGAACTTAAAATTTATCTTTTGGTTTACAGGGCGTGTCTTTAACTTCAGAGTGGTTTGCAAAGTATTTGCAATCATCAGCAGCTGCATGTTGGGTAAGTTTGAATTTTTAAAAATAAATTTCATTTTATTTTGAAGAATTATACCATTTATTTACCCAGATAATAAAAGTTTTATTTCTAAGTAGCTATAGCTTCTTGGTCATAATCTTATAAGAAGAATAAACCCTTTCTTATGGGCTGAAAGGGAATATATAAAGAAGATGTTATTTAGTGTACATATATTGAATGTCTCCAAGCTTTTTTAGCTGAAATGGAGTGTTAGGGGAAACTGACTGTCATTTAGTAAATGTTTATTGATGACCTACTGTGTGCCAGGCCCAATTCTTAAATCAGGTTAGATATTTCAGAAAAAGAAAAAAACAAGCCTTCATGGAGTCACAGCCTAAGTAAATGTCAGGTTGTGCTAACTGCTATGAAGGCAAATAGTTAAGAGTAAAGTACATAGAGGGGGTGGGGGATGATATTTTATATAGTGATCAGGACAGACATCTCTGACAAGGTTATAGTTGAGCAAAGAACTGAAAAAAGTGAGAGTGAGCCATGTAAACATCAAGGAGAAGAATGTTCTAAGCAGAAACCATAGCAGGAGCAAAGACCTGAAAGCAGAGTTTACTGGCTTATTCATGCCTAAGTTAGGAGGAGGAGGCTGGAGTGGCTGGAGCAGAGTGAGCAGGGAAACAAGTGGAAATGAGGTCAAGGATGTAGGGCGTGGTTACGGCAAAGCCCTAGAGCTTACTTTAAGGGAAATAGAAGGATTTCATGCAAAGGACGACATGATAGAACTTCAGTTCTTGAAAGGATCATTGTAGCATGGAGAATAGAATTTGTTGGGGTAAGGGACCATTTAGGAGAGTATTAGAGTAATCTGAGTGAGAGGCAGTGGACCATTCATTGCACAAGGGTGGTATTACAGAAATGAGAGAAGCGTTTACCTTCAGCTTTGCTTTGAAGATTTAGCTGGCAGAATTTACTCATGAGCTGGATAAGGGACAAGAGAGAAAAAAAGTTCCAAGTTTTTCACATGAATAACTGTAAAAATGGAATTGCCTTTTCCTGATAGGGAAAACTGAGAAAGAAAGTTGAGAGGCAAACACAACAAATGATCTCATTTTGTTGTTTATAAAGCAGATTACTTAAACAAAATGGATTAGATTTTATGTGTAAGATCTAATATATAAATTATTGTTCTTTCAAATATAGTCTGAGTTTGTTTTAATGTCATACTATGAGTTTTTCCTTAGTTCTTCTTTCAGTTTCTTGTCTTTATATTTTAGCCTAAAATTTACAATGAAAATGTTTGTGTTATTTCTCTTCCCAAGCGGAAAGTTTATTTTCTATGTAAGCTAGAGGAAAGGTTTTAACAAGCAAGAGAATACAAACAAAAATAAATTATCATTAAAATAGGTTAAAAAAAATTTTTTTTCTTTTTTTTTGAGACGGAGTCTCACCCTGTTGCCCAGACTGGAGTGCACAATCTTGACTCACTCCAACCTCTGTCTCCTGGGCTCAAGAGATCCTCCTGCCTTAGCCTCTGGGCAGCTGGGACTACACGTGCATGCCACCACCATACTCGGCTAATTTTTCTATTTGTAGTAGAGACAGGGTTTCACCACATTGAGCAGGCTGCTCTCAAACTCCTGACCTCAAGTGATCTGCCTGCCTCTACCTCCCAAAGTTCTGAGATTACAGCTGTGGGCCACCATGCCTGCCCTAGAATAGGCAAAATGAAAACAAAGTAATTTTTTTCTTTTTATTTATTTATTTTTTAAATTATACTTTAAGTTCTAGGGTACACGTGCACAACGTGCAGGTTTGTTACATAGGTATACATGTGCCATGTTGGTTTACTGCATCCATTAACTCATCATTTATAAGAAATAAGAAATTACTTATTTCTCCTAATGCTATCCCTTGCCCAGTCCCCCATCCAAAGACAGGCCCCGGTGTGTGATGTTCCCCGCCCTGTGTCCAAGTGTTCTCGTTGTTCAGTTCCTACCTATGAGTGAGAACATGCAGTATTTAGTTTTCTGTCCTTGTGCCAGTTTGCTGAGAATGATGGTTTCCAGCTTCATCCATGTCCCTGCAAAGGATATGAACTCATCCTTTTTTCTGGCTGCATAGTATTCCATGGTATATATGTGCCACATTTTCTTAATCCAGTCTATCATTGATGGACATTTGGGTTGGTTCCAAGTCTTTGCTATTGTGAATAGTGCCGCAATAAACATACGGGTGCATGTGTCTTTATAGTAGCATGATTTATAATCCTTTGGGTATATACCCAGTAATGGGATGGTTGGGTCAAATGGTATTTCTAGTTCTAGATCCTTGAGGATTCGCCATACTGTGTTCCAGTATGGAAAAAATGGTTGAACTAGTTTGCAATCCCACCAACAGTGTAAAAGTGTTCCTATTTCTCCACATCCTCTCCAGCATCTGTTGTTTCCTGACTTCTTAATGATTGCCATTCTAACTGGCACGAGATGGTATCTCGTTGTGGTTTTGATTTGCATTTCTCTGATGGCCAGTGATGATGAATATTTTTTCATGTGTCTGTTGGCTGCATAGATGTCTTCTTTTGAGAAGTGTCTGTTCATATCCTTCACCCACTTTTTCATGGGGTTGATTTTTTCTTGTAAATTTGTTTAAGTTCTTTGTAGATTCTGGATATTAGTTCTTTGTCAGATGGGTAGATTGCAAAAATGTTCTCCCATTCTGTAGGCTGCCTGTCCACTCTGATGGTAGTTTCTTTTGCTGTGCAGAAGCTCTTTAGTTTAATTCGATCCTATTTTTCAATTTTGGCTTTTGTTGCCTTTGCTTTTGGTGCTTTAGTCATGAAGTCCTTGCCCATGCCTATGGCCTGAATGGTATTGCCTAGGTTTTCTTCTAGGGTTTTTATGGTTTTAGGTCTAACATTTAAGTCTTTACTCCATCTTGAATTAATTTTTATATAAGGTGTAAGGAAGGGATCCAGTTTCAGCTTTCTACATATGGCTAGTCAGTTTTCCCAGCACCATTTATTAAATGGGGAATCCTTTCCCCATTTCTTGTTTTTGTCAGGTTTATCACAGATCAGATGGTTGTAGATGTGTTATTTCTGAGGGCTCTGTTCTGTACCATTGGTCTATGTATCTGTTTTGGTACCAGTACCATGCTGTTTTGGTTACTGTAGCTTTGTAGTACAGTTTGAAGTCAGGTAGTGTGATGCCTCCAGCTTTGTTCTTTTTGCTTAGGATTGTCTTGACAATGTGGGCTCTTTTTTGGTTCCATATGGATTTTACGGTAGTTTTTTCCAATTCCGTGAAGAAAGTCATTGGTAGCTTGTTGGGGATGGCATTGAATCTATTAAGTTACGTTGGGCAGTCGGGCCATTTTCACGATATTGATTCTTCCTATCCATGAGCATGGAATGTTCTTCCATTTATTTTTGTCCTCCTTTATTTCATTGAGCCGTGGTTTGTAATTCTCCTTGAAGAGGTCCTTCACATCCCTTGTAAGTTGGATTCCTAGGTATTTTTTCTCTTTGAAGCAATTGTGAATGGGAGTTCACTCATGATTTGGCTCTCTGTTTGTCTGTTATTGGTGTATAGGAATGCTTATGATTTTTGCACATTGATTTTGTGTCCTGAGACTTTGCTGAAGTTGCTTATCAGCTTAAGGAGATTTTGGGCTGAGACAATGGGGTTTTCTTTTTTTTTTTAATTTTTTTTTGTTTTGAGACGGAGTCTTGCTCTGTCGCCCGGGCTGGAGTGCAGTGGCTGGATCTCAGCTCGCTGCAAGCTCCGCCTCCCAGGTTTACGCCATTCTCCTGTCTCAGCCTCCTGAGTAGCTGGGACTACAGGTGCCCGCCACCTCGCCCGGCTAATTTTTTTGTATTTTTTTAGTAGAGACGGGGTTTCACCGTGTTAGCCAGGATGGTCTTGATCTCCTGACCTCGTGATCCGCCCGTCTCGGCCTCCCAAAGTGCTGGGATTACAGGCTTGAGCCACCGCGCCTGGCGACAATGGGGTTTTCTAAATATACAATCATGTCATTTGCAAACGGACAATTTGACTTCCTTTTTTCATAATTCAATATCCTTTATTTCTTTCTCTTGCCTGATTGCCCTGACCAGAACTTCCAACACTGTGTTGAATAGGAGTGGTGAGAAAGGGCATCCCTGTCTTGTGCCAGTTTTCAAAGGAAATGCTTCCAGTTTTTGCCCATTCAGTATGATATTGGCTGTGGGTTTGCCATAAATAGCTATTATTATTTTGAGATACGTTCCATCGATACCTAGTTTATTGAGAGTTTTTAGCATGAAGGACTGTTGAATTTTGTTGAAGACCTATTCTGCCTCTGTTGAGGTAATCATGTGGTGTTTGTCGTTGGTTCTGTTTATGTGGTAGATTATGTTTATTGATTTGTGTGTGTTGAACCAGCCTAGCATCTCAGGGATGAAGCCAACTTGATTGTGTTGGATATGCTTTTTGATGTGTTGCTAGATTCAGTTTGCCAGTGTTTTATTGAGGATTTTTGCATCGATGTTCATCAGGGATATTGGTCTAAAATTCTCTTTTTTTTTTGTTGTGTCTCTGCCAGGCTTTGGTATCAGGATGATGCTGGCCTCACAAAATGAGTTAGGGAGGATTCCCTCTTTTTCTCTTCATTGGAATAGTTTCAAAAGGAATGGTACCAGCTCTTCTTTATACTTCTGGTAGAATTCGGCTGTGAATCCATCTGGTCCTGGACTTCTTTTGGTTGATAGGGTATTGATTATTGCCTAAATTTCAGAGCCTGTTATTGGTCTATTCAGAGATTCAGCTTCTTCCTGGTTTAGTCTTGGGACGGTGTCTGTGTCCAGGAATTTATCCATTTCTTCTAGATTTTCTAGTTTATTTGCATAGAGGTGTTTATAGTATTCTCTGATGGTAGTTTATATTTCTGTGGGATTGGTGGTGATATCCCCTTTATCATTTTTTATTGCATCTATTTGATTCTTCTCTCTTTTCTTCTTTATTAGTCTTGCTAGCGGTCTATCAATTTTGTTGATGTTTTGAAAAAACCAGCTCCTGGATTCATTGATGTTTTGAAGGGTTTTTTCGTGTCTCTATCTCCTTCAGTTCTGCTCTGATCTTAGTTATTTCTTGCCTTCTGCTAGCTTTTGAATTTGTTTGCTCTTGCTTCTTTACTTCTTTTAATTGCGACGTTAGGGTATCCATTTTAGATCTTTCCTGCTTTCTCTTGTGGACATTTAGTCCTATAAATTTCTCTCTACACATTGCTTTAAATGTGTCCCAGAGATTCTGGTACGTTGTATCTTTGTTCTCATTGGTTTCAAAGAACATCTTTATTTCTGCCTTCATTTCATTATTTACCCAGTAGTCATTCAGGAGCAAGTTGTTCAGTTTCCATGTAGTTGAGCGGTTTTGAGTGAGTTTCTTAATCCTGAGTTCTAATTTGATTGCACTGTGGTCTCAAAGATAGTTTCTTGTGATTTCTATTCTTGTACATTTGCTGAGGAGTGCTTTACTTTTAACTATGTGGTCAGTTTTGGAATAAGTGCGATGTGGTGCTGAGAAGAATGTATATTCTGTTGATTTGGAGGAGAGTTCTGTAGATGTCTATTAGGTCCACTTGGTGCAGAGCTGAGTTCAAGTCCTGGATATCCTTGTTATCCTTCTGTCTTGTTGTTCTGTCTAATGTTGACAGTGGGGTGTTAAAGTCTCCCATTATTATTGTGTGGGAGTCTAAGTCTCTTTGTAGGTCTCTAAGGACTCACTTTATGAATCTGGGTGCTCCTATATTGGGTGCATATGTATTAAGGATAGTTAGCTTTTCTTGTTGAATTGATCCCTTTACCATAATGTAATGGCCTTCTTTATCTCTCTTGATCTTTGTTGGTTTAAAGTCTGTTTTATCAGAGACTAGAATTGCAACCCTTGCTTGGTTTTTTTTTTTTCCATTTGCTTGGTAGATCTTCCTCCATCCCTTTATTTTGAGCCTATGTGTGTCTCTGCAGGTAAGATGGGTCTCCTGAATACAGCACACTGATTTGTTTTGACTCTTTATCCAATTTGCCAGTCTGTGTCTTTTACTTGGGGCATTTAGCCCATTTACAGTTAAGGTTAATATTGTTATATGTGAATTTGATCCTGTCATTATGATGTTAGCTGGTTATTTTGCCCATTAGTTGATGCAGTTTCTTCCTAGCATCGATGGTCTTTACAATTTGGCATGTTTTTGCAGTGGCTGGTACCAGTTGTTCTGTTCCATGTTTAGTGCTTTCTTCAGGAGCTCTTGGAAGGCAGGCCTGGTGGTCACAAAATCTCTCAGCATTTGCTTGTCTGTAAAGGATTTTATTTTTCCTTCACTTAATGAAGCTTGGTTTGACTAGATATGAGATTCTGGGTTGAAAATTCTTTTCTTTGAGAATGTTTTATATTGGCCCCCACTGTCTTCTGGCTTAGTTTCTCCCAAGAGATCCACTGTTAGTATTATGGACTTCCCTTTGTGGGTAACCCAACCTTTCTCTCTGGCTGCCCTTAACATTTTTTCCTTCATTTCAACCTTGGTGAATGTGACAATTATGTGTCTTAGGGTTGCTCTTCTCAAGGAGTATCTTTGTGGTGTTCTCTGTATTTCTGAATTGGAATGTTGGCCTGCCTTGCTGGGTTAGGGAAGTTCTCCTGGATAATATCCTGAAGAGTGTTTTCCAACTTGGTTCCATTTTCCCTGTCATTTTCAGGTACCCCAATCAAACGTAGATTTGATCTTTTCACATAGTCCCATATTTCTTGGAGGCTTTGTTCGTTTCTTTTTACTCTTTTTTTCTCTAACCTTGTCTTCTCGCTTTATTTCATTAATTTGATCTTCAATCACTGATACCCTTTTGTCCACTTGATCGAATCAGCTACTGAAGCTTGTGCATGCATTATGTAGTTCTTGTGCCATTGTTTTCAGCTCCATTGTTTTCTGCTCTATACTGTTTATTCTAGTTAGCCATTCATCTAATCTTTTTTCAAGGTTTTTAGCTTCCTTGCGATGGGTTCAAGCATCCTCCCTTAGCTTGGAGAAGTTTGTTATTACTGACCTTCTTAAGCCTACTTCTGTCAATTTATCAAAGTCGTTCTCCATCCAACTTTGTTCTGTTGCTGGCAAGGAGCTGCGATCCTTCAGAGGGGAAGAGACGCTCTGGTTTTTAGAATTTTCAGCTTTTCTGTTCTGGTTTCTCCCCATCTTTGTGGTTTTACCTACCTTTGGTCTTTGATGTTGGTGACCTACAGATGGGGTTTTGGTGTAGATGTCCTTTTTGTTGATGTTGATGCTGTTCCCTTCTGTTTGTTAGTTTTCCTTCTAACAGTCAGGTCCCTAAGCTGCAGGTCTGTTGGAGTTTGCTGGAGGTCCACTCCAGACCCTGTTTGCCTGGGTATCACCAGCGGAGGCTGTAGAACAGCAAATATTGCAGAACAACAAATACTGCTGCCTGATCCTTCCTCTGGAAGCTTCGTCCCAGAGGGGCGCCCGCCTGTATGAGGTGTCAGTCGGTCCCTCCTGGGAGGTGTCTCCCAGTTAGGCTACACGGGGTCAGGAACCCAGTTGAGGAGGCAGTCTGTCCATTCTCAGAGCTCAAACGCCATGCTAGGAGAATCACTGCTGTCTTCAAAGCTGTCAGACAGGGACGTTTAAGTCTGTGGAAGTTTCTGCTGCCTTTTGTTCAGTTATGCCTTGCCGCCAGAGGTGGAGTCTGCAGAGGCAGCAGGCCTTGCTGAGCTGCGGTGGGCTCCGCCCAGCTGGCACTTCCCCTGGCTGCTTTGTTTTCCTACTCAAGCCTCAGCAATGGCAGATGCCCCTCCCCAAGGCTGCTGCCTCGCTGTGGATCTCAGACTGCTGTGCAGGCAGTGAGCAAGGCTCCGTGGGCATGGGACCCGCTGAGCCAGGCGTGGGATATAATCTCCTGGTGTGCCGTTTGCTAAGACCATTGGAAAAGTGCAGTATTTAGGTGGAGTTGTCCTGTTTTTCCGGGTACAGTCTGTCATGGCTTCCCTTGGCTACGAAAGGGAAATCCCCCAACCCCTTGCGCTTCCCAGGTGAGGCAATGCCCCACCGTGCTTCAGCTCACCCTCCGTAGGGTGCACCCACTGTCCAACCAGTCCCAATGAGATGAACCAGGTATCTCAGTTGGAAATGCAGAAATCACCCATCTTCTGCGTTGATTACGCTGGGAGCTGCAGACCGGAGCTGTTCCTACTTGGCCGTCTTGGAACGGATCTGCACAAAGTAAAATTTTTATATCAACTTTTGCATAGACTGTTCAGGTTCATGTTACTTTTCTTTGCCATTGTTCTGTTGTAGGTATATGCCAATCTAACATCTTGTCAAGCTCTTGGAAATATATGTGTGATGAACATGAATTCTTACGACTTTGCCACATTTGATGCATGTCGACTATTTCAGTTTATCTTTGAAAATACTGCTGGACTGAGCACTGTTCATTCTATTTCATTTTGGTAAGGATATTTTGATTGACGAAATGTTATTTTGACTGAATTCAGTGCAGTTATTAATATATTCACAAATATTAATAAGAAATATTTATTCTCCATTATTAAAACAGTTGTAACTGTTTATAGGAGACAGAATCTTCCTTGGCTGTTTTATGGAGACCAGTTAGGATTAGCACCTCAAGTGCTCAGTTCTACCTCTCTTCCTACAAATTTCAGTTTTAAAGGAGAAAACCAGGTAAAAATGTCTAATATCATTCGAGGATAACTACCTTTTGATTTATAATTTTAAAAGGTAATAAGAAAGTTATAATTCTTACCTTTTTAGGTTATTGCTACAAACTCAACTAAATTAAATATAAATGTCAACTAAACTAAATATAAATATAAACTAAACTAAATATAAATGTCAACAACTTACAAGAACTAAACAGTATAGAGTTTAGCTGTTGTATTGAATATGTGGATACTTCTGGATTATGTGGTTATGACAAGAACTAATACTTGTAGGGTTGGGAAGAGTAGTTTTCAACACCAAATGCAAAAAATCTCTGTCCTGTTTTTCCATACCTTAAAGAAGTGCTTCCAAAGATTGACTGGGGCTCTGTGACATTGCTCAGCACTTCACAGGGCCAAATTCCCACCTCTAACTTTTTGACCTTCCAGAATGAGGAGATACTGTTCTCCCACACTGCCTCCTATTTAACAGGTTCGAAAGGAGTCTATCTGTCACTAGTGCTGCCTCTCAATTCTAGAATAATAATTTTCATGCAAAAAAACAGTCCAATTATTTTAGGTGTATTTAGTCATAGAAATAGATTAATTGAGCCTCAAAATAAAGGTAATTGAATGTAATTTGTCAACGATGAACATTTCTTTATAGGATGTTGTATGACTTTCAGAGTATTTGACCTGATTTTGCTCTTGTTTTCTTTAATCAGAATACAAAACTGAAGTTTGTTGCTGCTTCCTATGATATAAGAGGAAATTTTCTCAAGTGGCAAACTTTAGAAGGAGGTGTTTTACAGGTAAGCACAATTCTAGTTAAAGAATTAATAATGTGCATTATTTTTGCCTGAGGCAAAGATTAGATTATTGTATGAATAAAGCATCAGTTACACACTACAGTTGATTTTTTTTTCTGATGCTTTAAATTAGAATTTCTTAAGTCTCTTTTTTTTTTTTTTTTTTTTTTTTTTTGAGAGGGAGTGTCACTCTTTCGCCCAGGCTGTAGTGCAATGGCGCGATCTTGGCTCACTCAGCCTCCCGAATAACTGGGAGCTGGAACTACAGGCGCCAGCCACCACGCCTGGCTAATTTTTTTTTTTTTTCCTTGAGACGGAGTCTCGCTCTCTCACCCAGGCTGGAGTGCAGTGGCGCGATCTTGGCTCACTGCAAACTCCGCCTCCCGGGTTCACACCATTCTCCTGCCTTAGCCTCCTGAGTAGCTGGGACTACAGGCGCCCACCACCGCACCCGGCTAATTTTTTGTATTTTTAGTAGAGACGGGGTTTCACCGTGTTAGCCAGGATGGTCTTGATCTCCTGACCTTGTGATCCACCCATCTTGGCCTCTCAAAGTGCTGGGATTACAGGCATGAGCCACTGTGCCTGGCAAAGTTTTATTTCTTTAAAGTTATGACTTTAATTTATAACAGATGTTCCCTTAACTTTTCATATCCTTGATACATTACGTTAAGTATGATGTAGAGCATATATCCATGTTTGGGTGAGTATAAGAATAGAAAACAGTTGTGAGAGATATTTATGTGTTGTATTATTTTACTGTAGCTTTGTCCAGACACAGAAACAAGGCTAAATGCTGCTTATTCATTTGGAACAACCTACCAACAAAATGTAAGTTTGAACGATATTAGACTATATTTTAGCTTTATTTTTCAAAATATCATATCAGCAGTAATTGGAATAATACTTAAATTTTGAGATTGGAATTTTTTTTTTCTTGTTTTTTGTTTTTTGAGATAGAGTTTTGCTCTTGTTGCCCAGGCTGGAGAGCAGTGGCGCAATCTCAGCTCACTGCAACCTCCACCTCCCAGGTTCAAGCGATTCTCCTGCCTCAGCCTCCCGAGTAGCTGGGATTACAGACATGCCACCATGCCCGGCTGAAGACGGGGTTTCTCCATGTTGGTCAGTCTGGTCTTGAACTCCCCACCTCAGGTGATCTGCCCTCCTCAGCCTCCCAAAGTGCTGAGATTACAGGCATGAGCCACTGTGCCTGGCCGGAAATGTTTTTAATAGTGATGAATAATTTCACTAATTAATATAATTTTTTATTACCTGGGTACAGAAAAGCTTAATTTCAGTGGCGTAAACAAAGCACCTTGTTATCTAAAGAGGTTTTTGTTTTGTTTTGTTTTGTTTTGTTTTTTGAGACAGAATCTCACTCTGTTGCCCAGGCCAGAGTGTAGTGGTGCGATATTGGCTCACTGCAATCTCTGCCTCCTGGGTTCAAGCAATTCATGTGCCTCAGCCACCTGAGTAGCTGGGACAACAGGCATGTACCACCACACCCAGCTAATTCTTGTGTTTTTCATAGAGATGGTGTTTTGCCATGTTGACCAGGCTGGTCTCAAACTCCTGGCCTCAAGTGATCCACCAGCCTCGGACTCCCAAAGTGCTGGGATTACAGGTGCGAGCCACTTCGCCCAGCCTAGAGTCTTAAACATCATATAATACATCTTCGTAATAAATTGTTTATCTGCTTCTAGGCTTATTGGTCTTAAAAAGTAATGCTTACTTGTGAGCATTTTGAAATAAGGTAAAAATGCTACTTTTTTTTAAATGACTAATAAAGGTTACTCCCTTCTTCTACCCCCTAATAACAAACAAAAATAATTCCTTCATCTTCCTCCATTTTTTTCTTTTTCCTTCCTTCTCTGACATTCCTTCCTTTGGTACCTATTTTGAAATTACATTATCTTACTAAGGAATATTATGAGCCATTAAATACTTGAAAGACATGCATGTATTAGTCCATTCTCACACTGCTAATAAAAACACACCCGAGACTGGGTAATTTACAAAGGAAATAGGTTTAATTGGCTTACAGTTCAGCATGACTGAGGAGGCCTTAGGAAACTTATGGTGACAGGAAGAGAAATACTGAGCAAAAAAGGGAAAAGCCCCTCATAAAACCGTCAGATCTCATGAGAACTCTTTCACTATTATGAGAACAGCATGAGGGTAACCGCCCCCATGATTCAATTACCTCCCTCCAGTCCTTCCCATGACACATGGGGATTATAGGAACTACAGTTCAAGATGAGATTTAGGTGGGAACACAGCCAAACCATATAAATTCATTAGTCTGTAAAAATACATCTTGATAAAGTTCCACACACAACCATAGAACAAAACCACAACAAAAAATACCATTATGGAAAGTAGATTGGAAGAATCTACTAACAGTGATTACCTCTGGATAGTGGGGTCAGAAATTGTTTTTGTTTTCTTGTTTTTAATTTCCAAATTTTCTACTATGAACATGAATTTACTTCTTTTGTCAGAAATGATTTACATGTTGTTGTTGTTGTTGTTTTTAAAATAAATGTTATTGTGCTTCTAACATAGGCCAGAAAGATCAACATTTATGTAATGCCTGTCTCTGTGTGCTCAGCATTTTATCATTATTATCCCATTTGATTCATAAAATAACTATGTGAGATACATAATATCTGTGCTTCACAGATAAGGAAATTATGCCAAGTAATTAGGTAATTTACTCAAAGACTTGTGTCACATAAACTGTGGAGCCAATGTTCCATCAGGTTTAAAAAGCATTTTTATTTCATTGAACCTGGCCAACTCTCAAGTTCTTCATAGTGTAGTAGGCAAAACAGTTATATAGACAAAGAATTGCAAAGAATACAAGTGTCATTCTATAGGTTTGTATAAGGTACTGATTCCTGGGGAAGTATAGAAAGGCTTCACAAAGTAAGTGATACTTGGGCTTGTATAATGAATATGAGTTTTCCAGGAGAATACAGTGGGGAATGAAATGTCAGACAGAAGCCACATTTGCAATGACAGAGAGGCATACAGTAGCATGGCATATTTAGAAACTACAAGTAGATTAGTATGAATGGACCACCATAGACAGATAGGGAGTAATGAGAGATAAACCTGGCTTGGTTAATGGAAGGCAGATCATAGACATCATTGTACAGCAGGAGAAAAAATTGGGAATTTATCCCATAGGACAGTAGTTTTAAACCTTTTCACTGATGTACACTTAATATTGAGAATGAAAACGTACCTCCTTCATCTGAGTTGAGGCTTAAGAAGTTTTCAAAGTTCTCAAAGCAGTTATTTACTATTAGTGTTTTTGGTCCTTATAAAATAATCATATTTACAGTATTCAGGTTTTGGAAGGCAAATGGAAATGCATATAAACAAGGTAGTATAAAGATATTTTGTACAACTAGAAAAACATTCTGAAGATAATAAATATGCTTGCTAATTTTCAATTGTGATTTTTTTTTTTTTTTGCTTTTTAGTACTTTAAGTTGCTGTTTTATGTGCTTTTATTTTTAATTTTACTTTTCAGTGTGAGATTCCTATCTCTAAGATCTTAATTGACTTTCCCACTCCTATATTTTATGATGTGTACCTTGAATATGCTGATGAAAATCAACATCAATATATTTTGGCTGTGCCTGTGTTAAACCTAAATCTTCAACACAATAAGATATTTGTGAACCAAGGTAAGACATCCATACATACCACTTTTTTCCCTGAGCAGAAATCAATAAATAAGTTAACCTACATGATAATTTAATAAACCACATAAGAAAGGTCATGAATTCTCTCTTATATGGTTCTATACAATGTACCAAAAAATAAAATAATATATTGATGGTGGATTTAGAAACTTTTACTAATTTTATTACCAGACATATCGTTAAGAAACTATACTGTTGCTGAGGGTGTATCCTGAGAAACATTAGTATAACTGTAAATTGGGGCTTTTTCTTCAAGCTGTCCTGAATATGCTTTTTTGGACAAATTAGTTTCTTTTGTTATTACTCATATTATAAAATTCTGCTTTTTCAGGTAATTTGCAGGGAAAAGCCTTCCAAATTTATGCAAAGTTCAAACAATCAGAAGACATTCAAGTCCAAGGCGCAGTGGCTCACACCTATAATCACAGCACTTTGGGAGACCAAGAGGGGAGAATTGCTTGAGCCTAGAAATTCAAGACCAACCTAGGCAACATGATGAGAACCTGTTGCTACAAAAAAAAAAAAAATTATCTTGGTGTGGTGGTGCAAGCTTGTAGTCCCAGCTACTCTGGAGGCAGAGGTGGGAGGATCACTTGAGCCCAGGTTGGGAATGCAGTGAGCCATGATTATGCTAGTGCACTATAGCCTGGTCAACAGAGTGAGACCCTGTCTAAAAAAAAACAAAAGAGGCCGGGCACAGTGGCTCACGCCTGTAATCCCAGCACTTTGGGAGGCTGAGGCAGGCAGATCACGAGGTCAGGAGATCAAGACCATTCTGGCTAACACGGTGAAAACCTATCTCTACTAAAGAATACAAAAAAATTAGCTGGGTGTGGTGGCAGGCACCTGTAATCCCAGCTACTCGGGAGACTGAGGCAGGAGAATAGCGTGAACCCAGGAGGCAGAGCTTGCAGTGAGCCAAGATTGTGCCACTGCATTCCAGCCTGGGCGACAGAGTGAGACTCTGTCTCAAAAAAAAAAAAAAAGAAGAAGACATTCACATGAGTTAGAGAAGGCCATTGTCAGGTGTTTCTTATACTAGTAGCATTTTGCAGCCATCTTATCTAAAACAATAATTTTATCTTTTAAATTTGTACAGTAAACTTTTTTCTTTTTATAATAAAAGACAGCAACTCTGGCAAGTGGCTTCTAACTCGGCGCATTTTCTTAGTGGATGCAGTAAGTGGACGAGAAAATGACTTAGGAAGTCAGCCAAGAGTAATTCGAGTTGCTACCCAAATATCACTGAGGTAAACAAATGTCTAATGATATTATTTATGGGAAAATATAATGGAAGTGTTTGCCAGTCATTAGTAGATGAAAACAATAAGGACAACTGATTTGGAACAGTTGGTCAGGTTATTTTAGGTATATGTGTAGATTGGCATAGACCAGTAAAAGTGAATAGCCAAGGGGGAAACTATAACAGAAGAGTGTGAGGAGTTAGGTCAAAATTCACATGCCAGGTCCCCCTCTAGACCTGCTGAATTAGAATGGGCTGTGAATAGCTAAGTAAATACCAGTGAGCTGAAATTGGTGTTTTAGAAAGAGCTTGCCAGATGGTTGGTGATATTTAGGACTCCCCTATCCTCATTTCTTTCAGTGACTTTTGTTCTGGGTTTACCCAGATTAATTATCAACACCCCCCTCTTCTTAGGATAATCTAACTGTGATCGTACCTTAGGTTAGTACTGCACCACTTAAATTTCTCTTTCTTTTCCAGTGTGAGATCTCTAAAATCTTAGTGACTTTCCCATTCTAATGTTTTATGATGTGTACCTTGACTACACTGATAAAAATCAATACCATCATCTCACAGTAGTTTGGTACTTTGAAGTACTTCAATATACTTTTTTTTTCAGTTGTTTCATTTTGATTCTCATAATCTTATGAGGTAAACAGTGCAGAAACTTTGTTATGTATCATGCTGAAATCCAAATGTACTGTGTTTTCAGCATTTCTTCAATCTGCTAATATGGTATTCTAGTAAAAATGAAAATGCACCTAGTCAGACTTGATGTGTTCTTGATGAAACCATGGTGGCCCCTAGTGATTGGCACTTTCCTTTTTGAATTCACAAACTATACAGTACTAATGCATTGAATTTGGCAAAATGAACCTCACTTTGTGCCATAACCATATTACAGCTGACACTTTTTTTTTAATTAAAAAATTTATTTATTTGTTTATCTTGAGACAGGGTCTTGCTATGTTGTCCAGACTGGTCTTGAACTCCTGGGCTCAAGCAATCTTCCCACCTTGGCCTCCCAAAGTGCTGGGATTACAGGCATGAGCCACTGCACCTGGCTTGACATATATTGTTTTGTTAAGAATTCATCTTTCTCTTTTGAAATCAAGATCTTATCTGCCTTTCTTTAGGCTTCATGTAGCACTGTACTTTTGATTATTCCTCAAAGATAGTTTATAGTGCTTCAGTGATTTCATCTGTAAACTTCATAGGACTTGGATTGAGCTTCTAATTTATCTCAGATGGTATATTTTTAGTTTGTTTTTTCTTTAATCTTACACCATCAGATGGTATATTTTAATGTTCAAGTCTTGATCACTGAAGATGGCTTATGTTGTCATCATTAGTTTACGTGTAACCTTCCTTAGTCCTTGTTAACTGATTGGTTCTGAGATCATCAGACAATTCATACTAAATTCAAAACAAATGGTAAATTAAATGTATGTTTAAGGGCCTGGATATACTGAGTACTATAAATGTATTTTCTTTTAAATAGCGTCCACCTTGTACCCAACACAATAAATGGAAACATCTACCCTCCCTTAATCACCATTGCCTACAGTGACATTGATATCAAAGACGCCAATAGCCAGTCTGTGAAGGTGAGTTCCTGACTAATCAGTGCCCTTGTATGTATAAATAGAGTATAATACTGATTCAGTTTACATTTTGGTCAAAAGACAGTCTTTTTTTTTTTAAGTTCTAAATAAACCTTTCTCTACATATAGTCAAGTCTTAATTATTTTTTACTAATAATGGTAAGAGGTGAGTTCGTATGGATCCTGAGTATAAAAAAGTAAGAATGGATTATGTTTTTCAGTAGAAGTCTCACCAGCAGCCTAGTATCCTTGTTCGGGATACTGGGGTATGCTGAGATGTGCAGTGTCTGCTCCTGTTCTTTTTGGCCACCATGCTTTTGTTAAGATTTTGTGGGCCGGGTGCGGTGGCGAGCGCCTATAATCCCAGTACTTTGGGAGGCCAAGGCGGGTGGATCACCTGAGGTCGGGAGTTCGAGACAGCCTGACCAACATGGTGAAACCCTGTCTCTACTGAAAATACAAAAATTAGCCGGGCGTGGTGGCACGCATCTGTAATCCCAGCTACTCTGGAGGCTGAGGCAGGAGAATCGCTTGAGCCCAGGAGGCGAAGTTGCAGTGAGCCGAGATCACTTCACTGCACTCCAGCCTGGGCAAAAGAGTGAGACTCCATCTCAAAAAAAAAAAAAAAAAAAAAAAACTTATGTCTTTGCCCAGTTAAGCCAGGAACTCGGACTTTACAGTGGGCATATGTGTGCTCACCAATCTGTGACCTACTTAATAGAGACATACTTCAACAGGCAGAAGGAGATGATAATTATCAGCGTTATAGCTAGTACAGCTAACATGAACTAGAGGATGTAGTTTGGACCTGCAGCCAAATAGGTTTCCCACTACTTCGTCAACTAAATTAAACTTAACTACAGGACAGAAGGCCTCTTCTGCCCGGGTGGGCCTGTATATGGAAGCGAGACCTCTTAGGCTGCACTGCAGAGAATGAGCTTAGAGAAGGTTGAGCTACACATGCTCAGTTCCTCTTCTCAACTTCTCCAGTCAGATAAAGCATCTTGCTTTGAGGAGGGATAAATGAGAGAGGGATAGAGGTAAAAAAACAGAGGTAATTCTATATTTTTCCTCCTAGAGATTAAGTGGCTATTCCCTTCTTTCTGTAAAGACATGAGAAGTGGAGCATAGCATTTCTTACCTCCAAACTCTGTAAGAGCTTTGAATTTCTACTATTTTACTTCTGTATTTTAATATTCTAGTTCCTTCAGCCGGTGCTTTTGGCCTCTCTGTTGTGCTTATACTTGTACTTGACTGCTATTAGATTCAAACTTTAATTAAGTAAAAATACACATGTAGTATAACTTTTAAAGATTTTCCATCCTCATTTGTATTACCTAATCCAGTGCTAAAATTAGTTTCCATTGACCGAGCTTGCATACACTGTAATGAGAGGAGAAGAAAATCCAAAACATACTTGGTAACAACAAAAGACTGCCTGGTTTAAAACTTCCTGGAGTGGTGTTATGAGTAATCAAGAATATATTTATTTTCAGCTTGACGAACATAGTGAAATCCTGTCTCTACTAAAAATACAAAATTAGCCAGGCATGGTGGTGCATGCCTGTAATCCCAGCTGCTTGGGAGGCTGAGGCAGGAGAATCACTTGAACCCGGGAGGAGGAGGTTGCAGTGAGCCGAGAGCGTGCCATTGTATTCCAGCCTGGGCAACAAGAGCAAAACTCTGTCTCAAAAAAAATAAAATAAAATAATTGTGTGTGTGTGTGTATGTGTGTATGTGTATATATATATTTATTTTAATGTAAAACACTTCTGAGTCTTTTCTTTAAATATTATTCTTGTCCAAAATAATTCTAAACTAAGCCTTGATAAATTGAAAAATAACAAATAGAAAAAAGTTAAGTCCACTGGTTGTGGTGGCTCACACCTGTAGTCCCAACACTATGGGAGGCCGAGGTGGGCAGATCAGTTGAGGTCAGGAGTTAGAGACCAGCCTGGCCAACATGATGAAACCCTGTTTCTGCTAAAAATATAACAACAAAAAAAAATTATCTGGGCATGGTGGTGGTTACCTGTAATCCCAGCTACTTGGGAGGCCGAGGCAGGAGAATTCTTGTTGCTTGAACCTGGGATGTAGAGATTGTAGTAAACCAAGATTGCACCACTGCACTCCAGAGTGAGACTGTCTCAAAAGAGAAAAAAAAAAAAGTTAAGTCATGAAACTACATTGATGAAGTCTACCTCAAATTATTCTAATTATAAAATATACAATTCTTTCATCATTTCTTAATTTCTCATGGCAGCTGTTGCAAAATTTTACATCAGTTGTAAACATCCAGCTATGTCTCTGCTCTTTATCTAGTCTTGAGCAGATCAGGACCATCTAACATGAATTCCTTAAGATTTCCTCTTTAATATTTCAGAATCTCTGTTTCATTGTCCTTCCCATTTCTTGTTCCTGTTTCCAAGAAAGAAGGTCCCCTCCTCTCTTCCTAAACTAATCTTCTATCTAAACTCATTTATAGTACATTTTCCAATATCCTGTTCCATCCCTAATGTCTTATTCAGACAGCCTCTCTGCGAGTCCCTTTCCTTTGTTTATAAAAACTCTCAGATTGCCTTATCTTAAAAACAAACTAAAACAACCAACCAACCGAACAAACATTTTACTCAGTTCTGCCAGCTGCCCAGCTTGCTAATGTATCTCTTCATTTCCCAACCATTTACTTTTTCATCATTTGCAGTCTGGCTCTTGCCATTTACTTCTTTGAAAACCTCTTTCATGAAAGTCAGCGATGTTTCCACGTATAGTGGCTTTCTTTACCTTGACATTTATACAACATTTGAAACTGTACTCAATGTCCTCCTCCTTCTTGAAACTCCCTATTCTGTGACCATGGTAAGACTTAAGTATCTTCCTCTCCTATCCCTCACAGTCCTCTTCTCTGACCTTTTACTAGGTTCTTTCTCTTGTCTCTTAACGTAGTGGTATCTTTAAGATTTTGTTCAGATCTTTGATTAATCTACGGTTTAGCAACTGGTGGTTTACCCAGTTGCTAAATTCCTAATGTACAAGTTTAGTCAAATTCCTCAGTTACAGAAGTCTATCAGAAAATGAAATATGATTAGTCTGTGCATGAATTTAACTTATCTCCTAACAAGCCCCGTTTTTAATGTGCGTGAAAGAGATATTTAAAGTAGCACAAATAATTCTCAAAAGCATATCTATTTACATGTAAGTAAAGGTCAACTCTAATAATATTGATAGTTAGAAACTATAGTGTTTATGGTAAAACCCAGCTACAAATGTGTTTTTATAAGTTTGTATTACATAATTTCAGTATAGCTAATTTGTTTTGTTTTAAATACCAGGTTTCTTTCTCAGTCACATACGAAATGGATCATGGAGAAGCACATGTCCAGACAGATGTAAGTTTATTTTAACCTATTAAAATATATACAGTGTATTTTACAATTAAATAATTTCAGATGTGCAAGAAAGTTGCTAAAACAAATTTGCCAGATACTCTTTTCCCAGCCTCCCCTAATGTTAGCATACATAACCTTAGCACAATGATCATAATCTGGAAATTAATATTGATGTAGTCCTATTAACTCATCTACATGCTATTTGAATTTCACTATTGAATTTTTTTCTGTTTTAGGACCCAATCTAGCGTCACATATTGCTTTTAGCTGTCATAGCTCCTTAGTGTTTTACAATGTGTGACAGATTCTTAGTCTTTCTTGACCGTAATACTTTTGAAGAGTACTGGTCCATTATTTTGGCCCTCAATTTGGGTTTGTCTGGTATTTTCCCATGATCAAATTGAGTTCATATAGTTTTGGCAAAGATGCCATCAAAGTGATGCTATAATAATAAATAAAAATAAGTATCTCACGGGGAAGATTCTTTGAAATTATGCAAACATCCTGCTTCTTATTCTTCTTATTCTCCCCCTTCTCGTTTTTTTTTTTTTTTTTTTTTTTTTTTTGGAGATGGAGTTTTGCTCTTGTTGCCCAGACTGGAGTGCAATGGCGTGATCTCAGTGATTCTGTTGTCTCAGCCTTCTGAGTATCTGGGATGACAGGCATGTGTCACCACGCCTAGCTAATTTTTGTATTTTTAGTAGAGATGGGGTTTCTCCATGTTGGTCATTCTGGTCTCAAATTCCCAACCTCAGGTGAGCCACCACACCCAGCTGACCCTGTTAATTTAATTTTATTTTATTTTAGATGGAGTCTCACTCTATTGCCCAGGCTGGAGTGCAGTGGTGTGATCTCGGCCCACTGCAACCTTCACCTTGCTGGTTTAAGCAATTCCCCTGCCTCAGCCTCCCTAGTAGCTGGGATTACAGGTGCTGCCACCACACCAGGCTAATTTTTTTGTATTTTTAGTAGAGACAGGGTTTCACCATGTTGGCCAGACTGGTCTTGAACTCCTGACCTTAGGCAATCCACCCACCTCAGCCTCCCAAAATGCTGGGATTATAGGCGTGAGCCACCGCGCCCGGCCCTCTAATTTTATTGAGTAGCATCCATTGATGATTCTTACCTGCAGAAAGTTTCACTGTGATATTTGCCTGATGGTGATTTTCTGTTTCCCTAATTACTTTTTTATTTATTTGGAACTTTACTATAAGGAGAAACTCTCCCTTTGCTCACATTATTTATTCAATTATTTATTTTTAAATCAGTGTGAACTCGTATTTATTTTATTCTAGTAATTATAATATGTTATTATTTGTTTTCTTGTTCAAATTGTCCCACATTTGGCCATTACAAGTTCCTCCAACTTGACTCCTGTGTCCTTTCAACATGTCCCACCCCACCATTTTTTTGAGTACTTCCTTACTTTCTGTTCACAGTGTTTTTGAACACCAATGAGAGAAATTACATAAATTCTCAATTGTTCTTTTGTTTTTTAGATTGCTTTGGGTGTATTGGGTGGGCTAGCTGTTTTAGCATCTCTTTTGAAGACAGCAGGATGGAAGAGGCGCATTGGGAGTCCCATGATTGACTTACAGGTATAATCTCAGCGGTTTTTAAATAATATTTTAATCTTTTGACTATTCTGGATCCTTTTCATAAGACACAGCTAGAGGATAAGTAAAGAAGTTGCATTGAATTTTTCTGGGGTATGTAATTAGGATAAGTATTGCTGGGTCATATGGTATATACGTACCTCATTTTCTTCCCACCATACTGTATGCCAGTCTATATTCCTACCAGCAATGCTCTTATTTCTGCACAAACTTGGCAACACTTGATATTTTTCCAACCTTTCCAATTTTTGCCAGTCTCATGGCATATAGTAGTATGTCACTATTGATTTCATTTTCATTTCTCTGTACTCTTCATATACATTTTAATCATTCAGGTTTTTCCTTCTGTTAACTGCCTGTTTATATCCCTTGCGTACTTCCCTACTATGTTTCCAGTTTTTCTTGTTTATGTGAAGGATTTTTTTTATTTTCTAAATAGTAACCCCTTTTTGGTTTCTGATGTTGAAATATATGAACAAATAAATATGTGACCCATCTGTCATTTTTATCCATGTGGTCCTTTGTTTAACAGAAACTTTCAGGTTTGTTTTTGTTTTTGTTTTTGTTTGTTTTTTTGAGACAGAGTCTCTCTCTGTCGCCCAGGCTGGAGTGCAGAGGCACGATCTTGGTTCACTGCAACCTCCACCTCCCGGGTTCAAGTGATTCTCCTGCCTCAGTCTGCTGAGTAGCTGGGATTACAGGCATGCACTACCTTGCCTGGCTAATTTTTGTATTTTTAATAGAGACGGGGTTTCACCATGTTGGTCAGACTGGTCTTGAACTCCTGGCCTCATGATCCGCCCACCTCGGCCTCCCAAAGTGCTGGGATTACAGGCATGAGCCACCACGCCTGGCCAGAAACTTTTAGTTTTGATATCATCATATCTGAATATTTTTTCAGTGCTTTTAGGATCTTGTTTAGGAAAACCTTCCCTTGTTTTTATCAAACATTTAAAAAATATTTACCATGTACCAGGCACTTTTTAAAGCTTTATGTATGTAATTTTCTTAATCCTCACAGTAGCTCTTTGAAGTTAGGTTATTATTCGCATTTTACACATGATGAAATTGAGGCAAAGGTTAAATTTTCTACTTGCTTGATTTTTACAGCAACTCAGTAATAGATATTTCCATTTTGCCAATGAAGAACATGAGAAAGGTTACAGGGTAACTTTAACCAGAGTATCTTTCTGATTCCAAAGCCAGTGAGCTAAGGAATCAGCAGGGGGACTTGATTTACTACTTGGGATAGTCCAGAAAGGCTTCCCAGAGAAGTGAACTTTAAGTGGGATTATCTCTTCATTCTACAATAGTCACTGAGGCTCTACTGTCTAAGTGTCTGGCACTCTGCCAGGAACTAGAGGATGTGATAGTGAGCAAAGACAGACATAGTCTGTGCTCTCAGAAATCATGAGAGCTTACCAGAGAGAGGAAGAGAAGAATATTTGGTAAAACAATGCCCATTTTATTCCACAAAGTATTCAAGATGAAAGTATGGAGTGATTAGTCATTGACTAACTACATGACTAGAACTGGCAGATGAGGCTAAAAAGTTAATTTTGGCCCATATTGTGAAAGACCTTGTGGATCAGGAATTTATATTGCATTGAGGAGTTGTTCATTTTTAACAAGGGAAGTGACACAATCCAATTCACATTTTAGAAAACTAACTCTGGTGTTAGTGTGGAGGAGAGATTAAAGGGGACTAAGAGAAAATTAGGAAGCAGTTCAATTTTCTTAGATAGTGAAAGATGAGAAGAGTTGAAAAAAGAGGCTACCAGGAATGGCCAGAAAGGTAAGGAACCAAAAGGTAGCAAGGAGGAGGAAGCAGGTCGTCTTTATAGCCAGATCATACGTGGATATGTGAAACGAGGTTTCAGGCTTAAGAAACGTAGTGGATGATGTATAAAAGTGGTAATATTACTAAAAGTGGTTTATACATTGAGTCTTAAACAGCTGTTAATTCTTTTTTTTTAATTGCAGACAGTTATGAAATTCTTGGTGTACTATGCTGGTGATCTGGCCAATGTTTTCTTTATCATCACAGTGGGAACAGGTCTTTACTGGCTTATTTTCTTCAAAGTGAGTGAGTTTCTGAATTTACCCCAACTGCCAATATCAGAATAATTGAAAAATTTTCTTTATAAAGGAACTATTTTTGTTTGGGAGAATTTTTGATCAACAGTATTAAGAAAAGTGCCCAACTCTCCATTCCTTGAGTGTGCTGAGCTTATCGATCACATCACTATCTTCCTCTTTTATGCTTTCTTTGGTTTTTAAATTGTGCTTAAGAAAAACCTTGTTCAATTGGAAGACTTACGTGGGAGGATCCTGTGAGTCCAGAATCGAGTCCTGCCCGGGCAGCATACTGAGACCCTCCTTTCCCCAAAAAAAAAAAAAAACTTTGTGTGATTATATTTAATCAAGTAATTTTTATTATAGGCACAGAAGTCTGTCTCTGTTTTGCTACCAATGCCAGTTCAGGAAGAACGTTTTGTCACTTATGTTGGATGTGCCTTTGCTCTGAAGGTAAGTTTTAAAGGACAGGTTACCAAATTTAAAAGGCCTGCTAATGAACTAATAAGTCTTTAAAATTAAAATGCTTTCAAAAATCTTTGGTGTGAAATTCACTTTGGTTTTGAAAGAAAGCATTGATTATTTTATGCAGTAAATTTACTTTTATTTGTAGTAGATACTCAGTCTGAAAATCTGCCTTAAATATTTTTTTCAAAGAAGCCATAAATTTGTATGGCTTATTTGATAAAATGATATTTCAGTATATAACTTTCCTTAAAGTCTGATGATACATTTACAATGGGACAAAATGTCTTCAGGCATGAATTTTGTCTCCATTAATCAAGGATAAAGTGTTGAGATCTTAAAGCTGTTTTGTCTGTCTCCAGATTCCTTTGCTCCTTTCTTCCTATGACCCCCATCCTCAACTCAGTGTTCTCTATCAATGTAGGTGAAGCTCTTTATATGCCTCTTGATAGTCCTTATCCCATTGTACTGTGAATATTAAGTGTCTCCTTTTTCCACTGGCTAGGAGCTTCTCGAAATGAAGTATCCCATACTTAGATTTTTATCCTTTATTTGATCAATAATGCAGCAACTAGAAAGAATGCCTCAGTTTAAACATATTGCTTCTATAAATGAGAAAGATGTGTTTCAACAACGCATTCTGTAAAAATCAGAAATCTTAATAGCAGAAATAGAAAAAACAGACAGAGCATTCAAAAACTTTAATTAGGAAAAACAAGCTATAGTTGAAAATATTTTTACTTATAAAGAAGTCAACTGATCTACAAAACGAGGTGTGCTTCTAGAATCTTTGGGAAAGAGTCAATTATATAAGTCCCTATGTGAGGAGGAAAAATGTCTCCTCTTTTCGTATTCCTATTTTAAAGAAATAAATAAAAAGGTAAGGTAAAGTAAAATGTATATGAAAATTCTGTGAATTTGGTGATTCCAGGTTATCTGATGAGCTTCTAATGATCCCCTGGTGGTATTATAACTTCATGTGAATTCACTTATAAACGTATATGTTCTTGTGATAACAGTATGTTTCTTAAAGAGTCAATATTGGTTTTATAAGCAGGCTTAATGCTGGTACTCTTTCAGGTGTTTTATTATATGTCATTCTCAGGCACTACAATTTTTGCATAAGCTCATATCCCAGATTACAATAGATGTATTCTTTATTGATTGGGAGCGACCTAAAGGAAAGGTTCTTAAAGCTGTTGAAGGTAAGTGAAATATACATTTGTACCAAAATTCTTTTGCTATCCTTGCAGAGCAAAGGAGGTAGAATTCTTTTACTCATTTTATTTTTCTGACCAGGTGAGGGTGGTGTACGAAGTGCCACTGTTCCTGTAAGCATATGGAGAACATATTTTGTAGCAAATGAATGGAATGAAATTCAGACTGTGAGAAAAATTAATTCACTATTTCAAGTACTTACTGTCCTCTTCTTTTTGGAGGTATAAACTGTTTGATGTGATTATATGCAACTTACATGTACCTTATAAATATTAAACTAATATAATTCCAACTAAGTTTTCATGACAGTGGAAGATTTCTCTAAAGGTTGAAATATTGTTGTGAAGCCATTAAAAAGGAGTGACTTTATGTTATATATTTTACCACAATTTTTTTTTTTTTTGAGACGGAGTCTTGCTCTGTAGCCCGGGCTGGAGTGCAGTGGCCGGATCTCAGCTCACTGCAAGCTCCGCCTCCCGGGTTCCCGCCATTCTCCTGCCTCAGCCTCCGGAGTAGCTGGGACTACAGGCGCCCGCCACCTCGCCCGGCTAGTTTTTTGTATTTTTAGTAGAGACGGGGTTTCACCGTGTTAGCCAGGATGGTCTCGATCTCCTGACCTCGTGATCCACCCGTCTCAGCCTCCCTAAGTGCTGGGATTACAGGCTTGAGCCACCGCGCCCGGCCGGACACAATTTTTTTTTTTTTTTTTTTTTAAGTTTACCATCTTAAGCATTTTTAAGTGTAGAGTTTAATAGTGTTAAGTCAGCCAGGCGCAGTGGCTCACGCCTCACTTTGGGAGGCCAAGGCAGGCGGATCACCTGAGGTCGGGAGTTTGAGACCACCCTGGCCAACATGGAGAAACCCTGTCTCTACCAAAAAATGCAAAATTAGCTGGGCATGGTGGCACATGCCTATAATCCCAACTGCTCGGGAGGCTGAGGCAGGAGAAGCGCTTGAACCCGGGAGGCGGAGGTTGCAGTGAGCCGAGATCGCGCCATTGCATTCCAGCCTGGGCAAAAAGAGCGAAACTCCATTTCAAAAAAAAAAAAGATAGTGTTAAGTACATTCGCATTGTCATGCAAAATCATCATCACCATTCATCTCTAGAACTCTTCATCTTGCAAAACTGAAACTCCATACCCCTTAAACAACCCTGTACCCATTCCCTGCTACACCTAACCCCTGGCAACCACCATTCTATAATACTTCCTGTCTCTGTGTGTTTGACTGCTCTAGGTGTAAGGAGTGGCTTTAAAACCAATAGTTCGTATCAGAAGTCCTCGGGGATCTTTTGTAAAATACCTATGCTCAGGCTCACCCTTAGAGACTATGTTTGATTTAGTAGCTTTGAGGTAACCCCAGGTATCTATATTTTGAAAAAGCTCCCTACTCCCTGATCCGTATTCTCCCCTGCATTAGAATCACTATTATAAGTTTGATATTTTTCAACTAATTTTTATTGAAAACTTACTATAGACTATGTTCTGTGCTAAGAGCTGGGGCTAAAATGAACAAGATGCAACATATTTATTATACATTTGCAGTTATTTCATGGATTTAGTTGAAATTATTGAAGAAAGTATTCAGTACTAAGTATAAGACTGAACATGGAAACCGTTTATATGGGAATATGTTTTCTCAGGAATTATCTGCTTAATTAAGATTGAATATAAATCATTAACTCTTAGGTCTGTCTGTCTTCCCTCTTTTTTCTTCTTTCTTTCCATTCTCTTTCCCCTTTCCCTTCCTTTATTTTTGTAAAACTAGTAGAAGACTGTTTGTATCCTTAGAGCTTTTAAATAATATGAGCAATACTTCCAAAATTCACTTGAAGTAGTATTTTGGTTTTTCTTAAATGAACAGATAAAATTTACATATGTTTATAGTTTACAATACAGTGTTTTGATATATGTATTCATTGTGGAATGGCTAAATCAAGCTAGTTTATCTGTTACCTCACATACTTCTTTTCTTTTTGAAGTTGCGTGTGTGTGTGTGTGTGTGTGTGTGTGTTTAGGAGTTTCCTCAGCTTTAAAAGATGTTACATGAAAAAGTTTTATAGTCAAGTAAGTTTGGAAAATATTGGATTCAGTATAATCATGTAGTACCTTTTACTGTAAAACTTCTCAGAGCCTTTATTCTACAAGGGTGGGAAGCATGGAGGTGAGTGTAATGGATGGACCAAATGTATTTAAACATAGATTATTTTTTCAAAGAACTTATGCCCTTTAGAAGACATTTTGTAATATACTTTTTCAAAGTATAAAAATGTTTAGTACAGTGCCTGGCACATGTCAAATACTCATGAAATACTAGTTGTTGGTTTCACTCATTGGTAGTTTACTAATGAAAGTTTTATCCTTTGAATTAAATTTGTATTCCTGTCAGTGTGTATGACAATAAGGTTATATTTGACCCTTAGTCATATTGAGAAGAATGCCAAATGAACTAACTAAATATTATGTAATAAATACTTTGTAGTTAAGATACTGGATAATAATTATTTTTATCTAGATTTTCTACTGTTTATACAAACTTGGATATTTTAGTTTTTCAAGGTGAGTAGGGAGAGGTTTTCTATTTTCAGTCTAGAGTAGTTTTCTTTATCCATGTCTGTTTAAATTATTACTTTTCCTTTTTACTCCAGGTTGTGGGATTCAAGAACTTGGCATTAATGGACTCATCTTCTAGTCTTTCTAGAAGTCCATCTAGCTATGTAGCTCCTTATAGCCGCATTTTGAGATATGCAGTGTCTGCTGCTCTTTGGCTAGCCATTGGAATTATACAGGTAAGGAATTATACAGGTAATATTACTTCTAAGTAACATTACTTATTTATAACTCTGCTTACTTACTGATTATCATCAAACATTGACCACATCCTTCTTTCTGTAGCAGAAAGAAGGTGACAAGAGCAATAAGCTAATAGTTCTTTTTTTTTTTTTTGGAAACAGTCTTCGCTCTGTCGCCCAGGTTGGAGTGCAGTGGCATCATCTTGGTTCACTGCAGCCCCTGCCTCCCAGGTTCAAGCAATTCTCCCACCACAACCTCCTGAGTAGCTGGGACTGTAGGCACCCACCACTACGTCCAGCTAATTTTTTTGTATTTTTAGTAGAGATGGGGTTTCACCATGTTGGCCAGGCTGGTCTTGAACTCCTGACTTCAGGTGACCCTCCTCCCCTCCCAAAGTGCTGGGATTACAGGTGTGAGCCATCGCACCCAGCCAGTAGTCAATTCTTACATTGTGTTAGTCACTGTACTAATTTAACTACTGTTGATCCATCACTTCTTGGCCTTTAGGCTAAGATCAAGTGTAATTACTGTTGATCCTTGAACAACATGGGGTTAAACTATTTGAACTCATTGAGAGTAGAAAATACAGTGTTCGCAGAATGCAAATTCTGCATCTGTAGAGGGCCAACTTTCTGTATAGATGGGTTCCAGCAGGACTGAATGTGGGACTTGAATATGGGTGGATTTTGGTATACTTGGGGGTTCTGGACTCAATCCCAACATACTAAAGGACAATTGTAATTGCTTTATACCTAATAATGCCTCAATCTTTATAATAGCCCTCAGAAATAAGTTCTGTTATTATCCTCATTTTATAGATGAGGAAACTGAGACACAGGAAGGCTAAAAAAATTGCCTGAAGTCATGTGACTAGTAACTGACAGAACTGGAATTTGAACTCAGACAGCCTGATTTCAGAGTTCACATTCTTGTCGATAGTGGGGCTCTGAAGGGCCTTTGAGAGTCTGCAGCTTTATAGTCATAGGACAGACTCCTTGTTTAGTTTATATGTAAATACAGGGACAGATAAGCTACCCTAAATATGTTGTTTTCTTTTGAAACATAACTTATTGTTTGCATTTATTTATATATCATGAAACCTTACTCAAATTGCTCATACCCCTTGTGGAGTTTTTCTTGAAATATTTATTAAAATGACCAAAAGTAAAAATAAGTCTTTTTAGCCTCAGGTCCCATGGATCTAGTAGAGGCTATAAAGAAAAAAAAAAAAAAAAAAAAAAGGAAAGAAAAAGAAGCAGCAGCAAGCATCTAACTTTCAGGTACTCATAAACAGAAAGAGTCCTTCTGTTTAAAATTTCCTTAACTTTTCCTTAACTTTTATAGTCCACATGAAGATAGGACCTCTAGAGAGACCAATTTTAACTTCCTATAGCTGGCTAATAGCTATCTACCTAGAACAGCCTACTTTTAAGGATCTTTTGAGATTTTTGTTTGTTTGGTTTTTGTTTTTAGAGACAGTCTTCCCCTGTCTCCCCGTCTGGAGAGCAATGATGCAATCATAGTTCACTGCAGCCTCAACCTCCCGGGCTCAAGCAATCCTCCTGCCTCAGTCTCCTGAGTAGCTGGGACTATAGGCACATGCCACCACACCCAGCGATTTTTTTTTTTTTGAGACAGAGTTTCACTCTTGTTGCCCAGGCTGGAGTGCAATGGCGTGATCTCGGCTCACTGTAACCTTCGCCTCCCAGGTTCAAGCGATTCTCCTGCCTCAGCCTCCCAAGAAGCTGGGATTACAGGGGCCTGCCACCATGCCCAGCTAATTTTTGTGTTTTTAGTAGAGACGGGGTTTCACCATGTTGGCCAGGCTGGTCATAAACTCCTGAGCTCAAGCTATCCTCCCATCTTGGTCTCCCAAAGTGCCAGGATTACAGGTCTGAGCCAGATTGAAATATTTTTAAGAGAGCATATTCTTAGAGAATTAGGTCCAGGTGGTGGTATTCAGTAATCTGTGTATTAACTTTTTAAATATATATTTATTTTAAGTTGATGAGACTTACTCAAACTTGAAACTACAGGGATAGAGTTAGTAAAGGACAGCTGACAACCAGAAAAAGAAAACAAACATATTAGAATTGGAAACAAAATAGAATCAAAAGACTATGGGGTTTGATGTTTACCATCAATGTAATAGTAAGGAAATATTTTGTACAATATACCAATATATTTTGTGAGTATATCAGATTCATCTGGATGTAGATAGTCTAAAGCAGCATCATCTGAAACTTTTCATATTTGGTTGAATATAACACAATCAAAAACAAAATAAGAGTGGCTGAAATCAAAGAGAACCTTGCCTTTCCCATGAAAAAGATGAGCAGAGGTCCAAAGTACAGGGCTGGAGTGAAATGGTGGCTTAGTGCTACTGTCAGGACCCAGAAGCCTGTCCTTCTGCCCAGCCACAAGGGACTTCCATCTCCACAGTCCCTTCATGGTCCATAATGGTCAATGAAATTACAGGAGAGAATTGAAGTAGGTAAGGTCACCTTTTCTTTAACAGCCTTTTCAGAAGTGCCTTTCAACATCTTCTTGGCTAGAACTTAATAGCATGGCCACACCTAACTGCACTAGAACCTTTCAGCTGGGCAGCAGTATATCCTGCTCAAGGAAGGGATCTGTTACTAAGGAGAAAGGGTTGTTGGGACAGCACCTAGCAATCTCAGACACCACCATCTAACTTCATTCTTTGCATCTCACTTTGCTGTCAGCTGGATAGTAAACCTTTTCTTGCCATGGTAATATTCTAAAATGATCAGTGTTTATATATTTGTCAAGAATCTTTGAGAATTCCTTTAACAACCTGTTACAGTTTTGTAAATTTGTCTAAACTCTTCTTGATTCTAATGATGTCAGGCTTTATTGTTCACTCCTTCTATTTCCTTAAACCCAGCCTCTTCAGCTTTTAAGTGGTGTCTTTTAATTTTTAAACCTTGAATATTGCTGTGTTTGACATCCTTTAAAGAGGTTTAAAATATGTATATATATGCCGGGCGCGGTAGCTCACGCCTGTAATCCCAGCACTTTGGGAGGCCGAGACGGGTGGATCACGAGGTCAGGAGATCGAGACCATCCTGCCTAACACGGTGAAACCCCGTCTCTACTAAAAAAAATACAAAAAACTAGCCGGGCGATGTGGCGGGTGCCTGTAGTCCCAGCTACTCGGGAGGCTGAGGCAGGAGAATGGCGTAAACCCGGGAGGCGGAGCTTGCAGTGAGCTGAGATCCGGCCACTGCACTCCAGCCTGGGCGACAGAGCGAGACTCCATCTCAAAAAAATAATAATAATAATAAAATAAAATAAAATATGTATATAGAGTATGTAGGAAAACGTTTTCAGCAGTCAGCTACTGTAGATTCACTTATCTATTCATTCACATATTTAAGTGCATTTTATGTACTGGATGCTGTGCTGAGCTTATGGATATGCTGTTACAGGAACAAATGACAGATTGTGCCAAGTGCTGTGAAGAGATGCAGCAGGGACATGAGATAGAGAGTAAAAAGAAGGGAGGAGAGTGGAGGGTAGGAATGGGGGATAGTGGGGACAGCTTTAAATAGGGGAGTTAGGAAATTTTACCTTTTTGTGAAACATGTCTAAAAAGATGTACCAGGTAAAATTTTTATTTATAAAATTTCTGTTTCTACTATTAAATCTAAGAAAACACTGGAAACCATTCCGTATGAATTTTTAATACTTTATAGTCAGAATACTAGATATATGCTTTTTATGTGCTGTTCTGGCAGAGAAAATTAATTTGAAAAGTAGAGGATTTTCTCATGTCTTGGAATTTAGATGAGCAAAGTGACAAAACCAAACATAAATCTGACCATCGATGCATTGATTTGTCCTATTTTAAAAGACTTTTTCTTTCTTCCCACGTGTTTGTCATAGCTTGTTTAATGACACAGAAAGTTTGCAAAACTCAAAATAGGTTCCCTCAATGACTCAATACAATTTCAAAATCCTCCTCCCTTCGACAGAAGACTCAGAAATGATAAGTAGGACTTTATCACATAGGAACTGTTAAAGACCACTGTGCTTTTGGTTGGAACTTTTTTTTTCTTAAGATACTACACTGTGGCTGTAACAGAAAATTAAAATCCTAAAAGCTAATAAACATAAACTTGGCTTAATGTTTCAGATCGTGTTCTTTGCTGTCTTTTATGAGAGATTTATAGAAGATAAAATTCGACAGTTCGTTGATTTATGCTCTATGAGTAATGTAAGTACTTTCTGACTTCATCTTGCAACTGTTACTTTCCCTTTTTAAAGGTCATGAGTTTGTTAAGAGAGGCTTTAAAAGTCATTTGGTATGACTGAATTTTTGGTCCAATTTTCCACTGGTTGTTAATTCCAGAGATAATTATAATGAGCTACAAGTTAATATTTACTGCCTTAGTTTTTTCATCTTTTTTTGTGTGTTTTTTTTGTTTGTTTTTGGAAACGGTCTTGCTCTGTCACCCAGGCTGGAGTGCAGTGGCACCATCTTGGCTCACTGCAACCTCTGGCTCCCGGGTTCAAGCAATTCTCACACCTCAATCTCCTGAGTAGCTGGGATTACGGGTGTGCACCACTCTGCTGGACTAATTTTTTTTTTTTTAATATTTTTGGTACAGATGGGGTTTCACCATGTTGGCCAGGCTGGTCTTGAACTCCGCCTGCCTCCAGCCTCCCCAAGTGCTGGGATTACAGGTGTGAGCCACTGTGCCCAGCCTGTTTTTTTCACCTTTATTTACAGTTTCTTAATTATGAATTTCTTATGCTTCCAAGTAGTTCATTAATTCCAGCACCCCTGAAAATTGTTTGTATATCAACGCTGTTTCTTCTTTTCCTTTCTTTTTTTTTTTTCTTTTTTTTCGAGAAAAGGCTCGCACTGTAACCCAGGCTGGAGTACAGTGGTGCAGTCGTAGCTCACTGCAACCTTGACCTCCTGAGTTCAAGCAATCCTCCCACCTCAGCTTCCCAAGTAGCTGGGACCACAGGTGTGCACCACCAACGACCCAACTTTTTTTTTTTTTTTTTGTAGAGAAAGAGTCTCCCTATGTTGCACAGACTTATTTCTCCCTTTCTTGGAAAATATCTTCAATCTCTTTTTCAAACACTTTAAAAAAAAACCTTATTATCCTTGATTACTGTATTATCCTCTTTATATATTTCCCAAGAATACAATCTTCATTATTTTGAAGAAAGCAATTTTAAGGAAAACTTTATTTTTTGTTGTTTTGCATAAGAGTTGCTAATTGCTTCTTTTTATTCTCTTTTTATAGATATCAGTGTTTCTATTATCCCACAAATGTTTTGGATATTACATTCATGGTAGATCAGTACATGGGCATGCAGATACTAATATGGAAGAAATGAATATGAACCTTAAAAGAGAAGCGGTATGAAAATGTTTTACATATTTTTGTTTTTAAGTTGAGAAATGGATTCTTATAAATCTTGGGATTGTTTTTTTTTAAAAAAAGTCTTTATTGATAACTTTTTTTTTTTTTTTTGAGATGGAGTCTCGCTCTGTCACCCAGGCTGGAGTCCAGTGGCCCAATCTTGGCTCACTGCAGCCTCTGCCTCCTGGATTCAAGTGATCCTCCCATCTCAGCTTCCTGAGCAGCTGGGACTACAGGCATCTGCCACTACACCCGGCTAATTTTGTATTTTTAGTAGAGACGAGGTTTCACCATGTTGGCGAGGCTGGTCTTGAATCCTGACCTCAGGTGATCCACCCACCTTGGCCTCCTAAAGTGCTTGGATTACAGGGGTAAGTCACCGCACCTGGCCTATTGATCACTTTGAAAGTTGCTAGGGGCTGCCGGGCATGGTGGCTCACACCTGTAATCCCGGCACTTTGGGAGGCCAAGTCGAGTGGGTCATGAGGTCAGGAGATCGAGACCATCTTGGCTAACACAGTGAAACCTCGTCTCTACCAAAAATACCAAAAAAAAAATAGCTGGGCGTTGTGCCGGCGCCTGTAGTCCCAGCTACTCACGAGGCTGAGGCAGAATGGCCTGAACCCGGGAGGCGGAACTTGCAGTGAGCCGAGATGGCACCACTGCACTCCAGCTTGGGTGACAGAGCGAGACTCTGTCTCAAAAAAAAAAAAATTGCTAGGGACCAGCTCACCCTGAACATCCACAAAGGCAAAGAATCTAATTTTACCTTGTAGTTCCTATATGAACTGTATTTCACAGTAACCAGATAATTCATGAGGGAAAGTTTCTCTTTATAGAAGAAAGTAGAAGGAATTCTAAGTTAGAAAAATTACCATTTTGCAGCGACTAATGGATTGATGAATGTAATCTGCCATCATCAGTGGATGCTAAACAATTAAGTGACTGTTGACAGGGAACTTTATAATGAGGGATCAGGTTGACGTAATTTAGACGCCCTGTAAATAAAAATAAGGATAACTGACATATACACTTCCTGCCATGATGCAGTAGGAAGTATATAACACCAATGAAGTATTTTTGCCTAAAAAACTGAACCTGAGTATAATCAACCCTCTAGCCTAATCACCAGTTTACAGGAAATACAAGCGATAAAGGGACAAATTAAATAGCGCCATAGAAAGTAATTAGCCAGGTCTGGGTATAGGCTGCCTCACAGGATAAATTACTTAGTGTCTCCAGACAAATCGATGGCATGAAAAGAAAAGGAAGGATGATGGTGGCAGTGTATGAACTATTACATTATAAGAAAGATTTGAAAAACAAACCAATCTGATACAATATGTGGACTTTATTTGGATCCTGATTCAGACAAACCAACTATTTAAAAAATCTGGGAGATTTTTAGTGGACTAAATGTTAAGAAATAACTAATTTTGTTAGGTATGAAAATGGCATGGTAGTTATTTATTTTAAAGTTCTTATTAGAAATGCATACAAAGCATTTACAGATGAAATGACATGGTCTGGGTTTTACTTTAAAATACTCTAAGAAAAAAGAAAATTTGGGAGGATAGATGAAACAAAATTGATAAAATATTAGTAATTGCTGAAGCTAGGTAGTGAGTGGTTTACTGTTCTCTCTACTATGTACATTTGGAAAACTTCCATAATAAAATTTTTTAGAGAATAGGATGTGCTTAAGCAGAAAAACCAAGAAGATTTAGTGATTAAGGGCCATACCTGTGACTTGTAAGAATTTGATACGTGATAATGGCATTTCAGAGAAGAATTTATTTAATACATTGAACTGGATCACTTGATTAAACATTAGAAATTACTTTGTGATTAAAAAGTTAAATGTAAAACATGAAGCCATAAGAACCTAGAAAAGAATATTTCAGACTGGAGGATGATATTCTAAGGATAAAGAATAGAAAGCATCAAAAAATATTAATTGATGTTACTTTATTAATATAGTACGTTTACATATCAAGCAATCATAAAAGGTAGTAAATTAGAGTAAAATACTTATAATAAATATGACAAAGATATTGATAACAATATTGAAAGATATGCAAATCACTAAGAAAACAGTAAATTAAAATCTCAATGGAAAAATGAGCAATAGACACTAATAAACCTCTAAAAAGATTTTAACTCATAATCAAAGATCTGAATATAAAAATAATGATTTTCCCCTCTTCAAATTAGCAAAATTTTTTTAGAAAAGCTAATACTTAATAGCATCAAGGACACAGTGAAATGGGCAACCACAAAGCTACTGGTGGCAGGTTGAATTTATGCAGACCTTCTTGAAAGTGTTTGGGCAACGTATATACCAAGAGCTTTTTAAGGTTCATGATCTTTAATTCACTGATTTTGTGAATGTTAACTCAAGGAAAAATTAACAATATGAACAGCTACTTAAATTCAGGATCTTTATCACAGGAGTTATTTATAAGGGAAAAAGTATATAAAAATTGGAGAATATTAAATAAATTGGCTTACCTTTATGGTGAAATCTTAAGTAGATGGTAAAATCATGTTTTATAGAATATTTAATGACTGGGGAATTGCTCAGGCTATAACGTTAAGTGAAAAAGAAGTCATTGTGATCCCAATTTTATGCTATTTATATGTACATCCCTTAGACAAAAGACTGGAAATGAAATTCCTTAATATATCTATATTTCTGGGTGTTAAGACTAGGTAATTTTTTTTCTTTTCTTTTTTGTATTTCTCTTTATTTTGTAAATTTTCTGCAATGGCATGCATGTTTTTAATCAAGAAAAAAATTTTAAATAAAGAAGTTCACTATATGTATTCTCCCTTTAACTGTATAGAAAGCCAAGTGCCATATTATGTTTTCAGGTTAGATTTAGACAAAGAAGGAAAATATTAACCTCTGGAGTAGGTAGACAGGCTTTATATAGGCCAGAGAACTTGAGTCGAGCCTTGAAGCATCAATCAAATCAAAAATTTTTTACATATTTGTGGTTGTCAGGATCCCAGTTGTATCAGGGAAACCCAAAATGAATATGGATATCTGGTTCATAACATTAACTGTTTGGTCATGTATCACTGTGTTTTATTGGAATTAATTAAGGAAACATCTCAAAAATGTTTAGAAAACAATAAAGATCATTTGCAATTATAAAACTAGTTAACTCCAAAGCAAGACCTTTCAGCATACATTAAAAGAGCAATAATCTTCATTATAAGGGAAGCTAAGAATATCAATATACAATAAACATATATATAGTCTTTATATCATCTCCTTTGCTCTACTTAAATATATATACTCTACCTAAAAATATATATATGCTCTACTTAAATATATAAATGTATATGTGATAAATATATAAATAGATATATTTAGATATTATAGATAAATATACATATATTTTTCTTTTTTTTTAAGTAGAGCAAAGGAGATGATATAAAGACCTGTAAGGGAGTATGAATTAGAATAAAGTAGAAATTAGCAAAATCTGGGAACCTTGGATAATGGTAGAATCTGTTTCTCAAATACAGTTTCAGTGAATTTCACTTAGCACCTGAATCTTGTAATACATGATAACAGCTAAAAAACAGTCTGTATTTTTTTTTGAGGCAGGAAATTTTTTATAATTTTGATCTTAACTTAAATTCTTTAACTTTTCAGGAAAATTTGTGTAGCCAGCGAGGTTTGGTACCCAACACAGATGGTCAGACTTTTGAGATTGCAGTTTCTAACCAGATGAGACAACATTATGACAGAATTCATGAGACACTAATAAGGGTTTGTATAAAGTACAGTTCAGATATATTCTGTCAATATTTAATGTTTTTTAGATACCAAGAACATAAGACTTTGTGTTTATTCATTTCTCTTTTTTACGTTAGAAAAATGGTCCTGCTAGACTATTGAGTTCATCAGAAAATACTTTTGAGCAGAGTATAAAGGCATATCATATGATGAATAAATTTCTTGGCTCCTTCATTGACCATGTATGTATGTCAACATTTATATTTAAGCTGGGATCAAATGCAGTTTTTAAAAGGTTAAGTGGGAATGTCAATTATTTCTTCAAGTCAACCAAGTCAGTAAACTTAGAACTCCCCCACTTAGGACCTTCCCTTTTTTTGTCTGTCACATTCAATACTTAGGAATAATATGTTTTTAAAAGACATTTCTAGCCATTAACAAACTATGGCTTAGGGATAGAGTTAGGTTATGCAAAAGTAAAATGAAATTTTCTTTGTCTGTTAACATAATGATGATTCCCTTATACTATATCTGTACTGGAATTTTGTTAGCCAGTTCCCAAAATAATACTGTATTATTCATTATTGAAATCCTTGTGTTATGCTATGATTGTACTTCTGAAAAGCATTTTATAAATTGATTTTCAGTATATCTAGCCCTAAATACTACTAAGGGCATTTAAAATTTAAAACATTCCTATAGAGAAGTTTGTTACAGGTTTCAGTGTAGTAAATTCTGTCTTTTTGAAGAACAGATTTTCTTTGTGTGCTGTTCATTTTTCATTTTCTCTCCTGCTGATTTTACATTAATTGCAAAGCATTTATTTCACTGCTGTTTTTGAAATGATGCTGTCTTTTTTTTTTTATTAGATTCATAAGGAAATGGATTACTTTATAAAAGATAAGTTGCTTCTTGAAAGAATTCTTGGAATGGAATTCATGGAACCAATGGAAAAAAGCATCTTTTACAATGGTATCTTTTAAATCCCTTTGTAGAACTTGATAACTGTTTTCAAAGTTTGAGAAAAAAGTGCTTGTAGATATTTTTTCTTTTTTTTTTTTTTTTTTTTTTGAGATGGAGTCTTGCTGTATCGCCCAGGCTGGAGTACGGTGGTACGATCTCAGCTCACTGCAAGCTCCATCTCCCGGGTTCACGCCGTTCTCCTGCCTCAGCCTCCTGAGTAGCTGGGACTACAGGCACCCACCACCACGCCTGGTTAATTTTTTTCACTAGAGACGGGGTTTCACCATGTTAACCAGGATGGTCTTGATGTCTTGACCTCGTGATCCACCCACCTTGGCCTCTCAAAGTACTGGGATTACAGGCATGAGCGACCGAGCCCAGCTGATATTTTTCTTTTGATTTAATAATTTTATGGATAGGCACATTGGTTCATACCTGTAATCCCAGCACTTTGGGAGGCTGAGGCAAGTGGATCACCTGAGGTTAGGGGTTCCAGACCAACCTGCCAACATGGTGAAACCCGTCTTTTCTAAAAATACAAAATTTAGCCAGGCATGGTGGATGCACATATAGTCCCAGCTACTTGGGAGGCTGAGGCAGGAGAATGACTTGAACCTGGGAGGTGGAGGTTGCAGTGAGCTGGGTTCACTCCATTGCACTCTAACCTGGGTAACAAGAGTGAAACTCTGTTTCAAATAATAATAACAACTTTACATAAAAACAAAGGAAATACAATGAACTCAGTTAACCTCATGAATTATAATTCTTTTCTGTGTTCTATTTTATTATGTCATATAGCAGGAAACAAACACATAAAAGATTCTATAAGAAAGTAGAAAAGGTGAATTTCAGAATCAACAGTCCACATGGAAGAGATAGTAAACAAATAAAATTCAGATTTTATTGGAACGTTCGTTTAATGCCAAACATATGAAACACTTAAAGAAGAATAACATTTGTGATTAATCTTTAATACTTAATTTTTTATCTTATCCAAGTTTGTAAAAATTGCTAATATTTGTGACAGGAATAGTGATTAAACCTGGTTTCATATTAAAAAGATAGTATACATGTCATTTGTAGTATGACTGATGACCTATTGTATGAGTAAGAATGGAAGTGGTATAACCAATGCCCTGGCCTAGATATCCTTTACCCATATGTTATTGCATGCCAGATATTGTGTCAGTCTGAGATACACAGACGAATGATCCCTACCTTGGGTATCTTGTTTAACAGACTATAGAAGACAAACATGTGAATAAAGAGGGTGGTACTGGCATAGAAGTCTGTACAGGCACAGGTTGTGCCGGGGACAGAAGGGAGCATAGAAAATCTAACCAGATATGAGGTAAAGCCAGAAGAGGCAACATGGAGAAGTTTGAACTGAGTTTTAAAAACTCAGTAGCTGTTTGTCAACCGAGAGGATTAAGGTAAGAGAGGGAGGCAAAGACATTCATGCAGACAGGGAAAAGGGGATTCAAAAACAGTGCGCAAAGTGCATTATGCACTTTGAAACTTTATAAAGTCTGATATGAAGTGGGACACAGTGGAAGAGAGTACTTGAAAGATAAAGAAGGCAGAGACCAAATTACAAAGGCCTTGCCTGATACCCTAAGGAGTTTCACTCTATCCTGTAAACCTGTTGTTTCTAAAATTTTTTTTTTAATTTTTTGCCCCACAAGATGTATATAAGTTGATCCATGGAGGCGTGAGAAGAAAATATTAAAATGTCTATTTGTATAAATTTGCAATTTAATCACCATTAATCTATTTTTAAATTTATATGGAGTAGTAATTAATAAAATATTTCTATTATATCTATTATGGGTTGCATGCTCAACATCTTATTCTGATAGGGATGCATGATCAAAATGATTTAGAAACCACTGCTAATGGGGCCGGGTACGGTGGCTCATGCCTGTAATCCCAGCACTTTGGGAGGCCGAGGCAGGCGGATCACCTGAGGTCAGGAGTTCAAGACCAGCCTGGCCAACATGGTGAAACCCTGTCTCTACAAAAATACAAAATTAGCCGGGAGTGGCGGTGCATACCTGTAATCCCAGCTACTTGGGAGGCTGAGGCAGGAGAATTGCTTGAACCCAGGAGGCGGAGGTTGTGGTGAGCTGAGATCGCGCCATTGCACTCCAGCCTGGGCAACAAGAGCAAAACTCTGTCTTTAAAAAAAAAAAAAGAAAAAAAAAGAAAAACCACTGCTAATGAACATGGATATATCACTGAAGGGTGCTAAGCAGATCTGATTTGTAAATTGGAGAATTACTCTGTTAGGAGGTTACAAGTTGAGTTTAAATAGATGCAAAATTGTAATAGCATAGTTTAGACATTAGGATTATAGCTTTCCTCCAGGGCATAGTGACTCACACCTGTAATACCAGCCCTTTGGGAGACCAAGGCAGGCGGTCACTTGAGCAGTTCAAGGCTGCAGTGAGTTATGATCATGCCGTAGCACTGTAGCCTGGGTGGCAGAGCAAGACCCTGTCTCTGTAAAACAAAAACAGACAAACAAACAAAAATAATGTAGCTTTCAAAGTCTTCTGGTCTTGGATTCAAAACCTGACTCTACCATTTACTGGCTTTGTGAACTTTGAGAAACTTGCTTAGCCTTTCTGAACTTTAATGCCTTCTTTGTAAAATTGGTTACAATCCTCTAAAAGTTTTGTGGAGTTATTATGTGTTAATATAAAGAACCCAGTAAAGTATCTGTTATGGACAGGCACTCAGAAAAGGAAATATTATTATTATTATTATTATTATTATTATTATTATTATTTGAGATGGAGTTTCACTCTTGTTGCCCAGGCTGGAGCGCAGTGGTGTGATCTTGGCTCACTGCAACCTCTGCCTCCCAGGTTCAAGTGATTCTCCTGCCTCAGCCTCCTAAAGTAGCTGGGATTACAGGCGTGTGCCACCACACCTGGCTAATTTTTGTATTTTTAGTAGAGGCGGGTTTTCACCATGTTGGTCAGGCTGGTCTTGAACTCGTGACCTCAGGTGATCTGCCCGCCTCGGCCTCCCAAAGTGCTGGGATTACAGGTGTGAGCCACCACGCCTGGCCCTATTATTTTTAATAATACAATAGTCACCTTCTTTCTTCCTGCTTTTTTTCTTCCTTTCTCCTTCAGTCTTCCTTCCTCTTCCTCCTATCTTCCTCCTCTTTCTAACTGTGTTCTTCCATCTCTCTATCCTTCTTCCTTTTTTTTTTTTGGAGATGGAGTTTTGCTCTGTTGTCCAGGCTGGAGTGCAGTGGCGCAATCTTGGCTCACTGCAACCTCCGCCTCCCAGGTTCAAGCAATTCTCCTGCCTCAGCTACTCGAGTAGCTGGAATTACAGGTGCCTGCCACCACACCTGGCTAATTTTTGTGTTTTTAGTAAAGATGGAGTTTCACCATATTGGCCAGGCTGGCCTCGAACTCCTGACCTCAAGTGACCTGCCCACCTCAGCCTCCCAAAGTGGGATTACAGGTGTGAGCCACCGCTCCTGGCCTCACTATCTTCGTCTTCATCAAGAGGTGATGAGACTATGAGCTAAGGCAGTAGCAGTGGGGCTAGAGAAGAAAGGATTGCCAGAAATGTTAAGGGAAAAGACTAGTCAAAAATTATCCAGACTTCTGACTGTGTGACTAAGTGGTGGTGGTGCCTTTCAATAACAGAGGCAATACATAGGGAGGACCAGGTTTTGAGGGAAAGAGGATGAATTTAGTTTTCAGTATGTTGCATCTTGAGGTACTTTAGGACATCTAGGAAGAGGTATCCAGTAGGCATTAAATATAAGGGGCCAGGTCGTAGGAGAAAGTAGAAGCACACAATAAATTGAGGAGTTGCTATCATATGAAGTCATTGCTGGAGCAGTGTTAGTAGAAAATCACCAAGAGACAGCATGTAAAACAGGTTTATTTTTAAGATTATATATGCAAGTATAATGTGCATATTTTGTAAGGATATAACTTATAGGTCAGTGAATTTTCACAAACTGAATATACCCCTGTAACTAGTACCCTTTCAAGAGAGAACATTACCAGCACTCCAGATGCCCCCTTGTATAAAGCAGATGTTCCTAACTGGGTATCCCCGGGCTGCTTCAGTGGTCTTCTGGATTTCCCTGAAATTGTTGGCAAGACTTGTATATGTATAGTTTTTTTTGTTTTTTTGTTTTTTTCCTGGTGGAAGGGTCTTTAGCTTTCATCAGGCTTTTGTGGTTTTTTGTTTGTTTGTTTGTTTGTTTAGAGACAGGTTTTTGCTCTGTTGCCCAGGCTAGAGTGCAGTGGTGCAATCATATTAATAGCTCGCTATAACCTCAGACTCCTGGGTTCATGCACTCCTCCCATCTCAGTCTCCCAAATAGCTAAGACTACAAGTGTGCACCACCAGATCCTTTTTCTTTTTTTTTGGTAGAGATGGAGTCTCGCTATGTTGCCTAGGCTGGTCTTGAACTCCTGGCCTCAAGCAGTCCTACTGCCTCAGCCTCCCAGAGTGCTGGAATTACAGGCATGAGACACTGTGCCCGGCCTCATCATAATCTTTTTAAAAGGGTGTTCACATCCCAATAAGGATGAACCCCCGCTGGTGGAGTGAGAAGAGAACTTAGAGCAAAACCTTAAGGGGACTATTTAAAATAAATTATTGAACTCTTGAACACTGTGTACTATTCTGTGCCTTGCTGGGTTTTTTCTCTAATATACTCTATCTTTGGGAATGTTTGTAAGATTAATTTAGCTTTGAGTTACATAAAGAAATAGAGAAAGGCTATTTATTTTTTATTTTATTTTTTTTTACTTTTCTTTTTTTCTTTTTTTTTTTTTTTGAGAAAGGCTATTTATTAACTGGTCTTTGAAACTTACACTACTAGCAGTTACCAACCATTGGTCCTAATGTTAGAACTGCTTTATAGGAGGTGTTATGAGTTTTTTAACTAACCTCTTTTAGATGAGCAAATCTTAAAATTTTTGTTTATTTTTAATTTAATTATTTTGTTTATTTTTGTGTAAGCCATGAATTATTGTATATAGTATGTTTCTAATGTGCTATTTTTAAATATCCAGATTTTGTCACCAGAAATTTATCACAGACTTGTTCCTTTTTTAAATTTCTAATTTATATTTTCTAAACTTTTTTAATAGATGAAGGTTATTCTTTCAGCAGTGTCCTGTATTATGGAAATGAAGCTACCCTTCTTATTTTTGATCTGCTGTTCTTCTGTGTTGTGGATTTGGCTTGCCAAAATTTTATTTTAGCATCCTTCCTTACATATCTACAACAAGAGGTAAATTTTAAACATTTTTCTACATTTCCCTTCATTTTCTTGAGAGAAATATTTTAGAAGTAGATATTTTCATAGCAGAGAGTAACAATGTCTACTTTTACTACAATTTTGTAAAGGTTTAGAATATGACTAACCCCACCAAAAGGAGGAATAACATTTCAACCAACTGTACTCTGTCCTTTAGGGTCAATGAAATACTGAGGTCTAGTGGAGGGCATCAGTTGCTTGATTATACATGGAAGAGGAATCCTATAGGAAGACATTTAACTACTAGTCTCCTAGATGCTACAAGTGAACAGTAATTAGAGTCCCATCCACCCTCTCCACTAGATGTTAAGTAACAAAAAAACAGGCACTGGAGAGCTAGCTCAGGGCTCAGCACCAAAGGGAAGCCCCCTTTAGCCTGCAGCTTTGACACCTCGTCTGCCAGTGTAGATGAAAAGCAACTTTGTGTATGAGTGTGGACCCTGAAATAGAGATTTCAAGAAATGGGAAATCTGTTCTTGAAATGGTGTTATTATCAACTAAATATTCTCCACTATGTCAAAGAAGTATATATGAGTAAGATGCAATTTATTAGTCCTTGACAGTGATCTAGAATTGTGCAGAAATTCTATCCCTAGCGAGTAGATTCTTTTGATGTTTCCTTAGTTTTAGACTTAGAAGAAAGTTGCCTTTCTAAATATTTTAAAATGTATCCCTGTGAACATGAGAGAATTTGTATTATTAATTCATAAGAATTTACTCTAAATGGGAACATACATTGCTTTGAAACTATGAACAAAATTATCATCTTGAAATAATTTTGTGTATCACCATGGGATTCAGATGCCTGATACATGAAAATAGTTGAGAGAATTAGCTAATTTAATCTAGATGTTTTAACTGATGTGCATATTTAATTTTGTTTATATTTCTTTTCATTCTGAATTATTTTAATTTTCCAGATTTTTAGATATATCCGTAATACAGTAGGACAAAAGAATTTGGTGTCCAAAACATTGGTGGATCAAAGATTTTTGATTTAACTTCCTGAATAAATAAAGACTCAGTATAATCATGGCCAAAAAAATGTCATGATATCAGGTTAGTTTGCCATATTTTAAAAACTTTTAATGCAAACTATTCTGTTTTTGTTTTTTATTTGCAGAAAGATTTATTTTTATAACTTGGAATATATAATGTGATAAAACAGAAAATACTGTTTTCCCATTGTGTGTGGTATTTAATGCAGTAAATAATAAATTAACACTGACAGTGAGGCCAAAAAAAATCTAAATGTTGCTTTCAGCATAATACTTTTTAATGATAATTAAAACAGTCCCCATCAATTTTCTCTGTGGATTATTTTATAAACTGACAGCTGCCTGAATTTTCTCACATTGACAAAGTAATTTGATTCCAAGTTTAAGACTAGTTTTCAGTTTGATATTTTCATGTTTTGTGTGCTTGTGGTTAAATAAATGTTGAAAGATATTTTCAAGTTTACTTAGAAATTTTAAATTGTATTATTGCTGATTCAATTTGCCTTATTCTAATTGCTTACCCTAGTTAGCAGTGGATTAATTCATTGTTGGATTGATATGCATCTCATGAAATGATATCTTTTCATTCCTTTGTATACCTGTATTAGGTCAGTATGCTCTTTCCATGCAATATATTTGCATTTCTAATATAGTTTACATTTATTAAGTTATTATATGTGACATTTTTCCCAATATCATTTTTTATATATTTTAATTACTTAATATTTTAAGAGTTATCTTCCAAAGTTTTGCTTTTCAATTATGTTTAAAGATTGTAAATAGCAAACAGTAAGGCTGGGTGCTGTGGCTCACGCCTGTAATCCCAACACTTTGGAAGGCCAAGGCGGGTGGATCACTTCAAGTCAGGAGTTCAAGACCAGCCTGGCCAACATGGCAAAACCCCATATCTACAAAAAATACAAAAATTAGTTGGATGTGGTGGCCTGTAATCCCAGCTACTTGGGAGGCTGAGGAACAAGAATTGCTTGAAACCAGGAGGTGGAGGCTGCAGTGAGCCAGATAGCACCACTGCACTACAGCCTGGATGACAGAACAAGACCCTGTCTCAGAAAAAAACAAAAACAAAAAACTGTAAATGTATCATGTTTCTCACTGCTTTCTATGTTAATGCTGTGTAAATACTTAAAATGGAATACTGTATAAATATTGTTTATATTTTCTCAGTTGAAAATATATACTAAAACATTTGGTGTTTCTGTTTTCTATTTCATTAATGTATATCTCACGGAGTAGCATTTAGGAATATAGCATTATTGGGGCAGAGGTCCCAGCCATTGCCAAAGTTGAATCTTTTACATTTCCCTGAATCTTGAAAATGACTGAAAAGGAAGTCTTTGAAAGTGCAGTTTCTGAAGGATCACAGTACAGGAATGCCTTTATAAAAGCTACAGAGATAAATACATGTACCGGCATGGATTTTTAAAACCACTCAGTCAGAAGCATATGAAAGAAATTCAACCATCATTCAACATAGAAGAAGTTAATTTTAGTGCAAATGTTTCTAAGTATTAAATTTCACAATAAAGGATCAATTGGCTTACTTGCTGATAAATTAAAACAGAGAAAACATTTAAAATCATTCTAAATTAATTTTGTATGATATTTTTATTTTGGTTAGATGCATAAAAATGTGTTCAGATTTTCATACACTGTCGACTCCTTTGTTCACATTGTCACAATTTACATTTCCTGATCATGTGCATAATTATTCACTAGATTCATTACCCTTTGTCTATTTCTGTAGTACCCAATCACTGTACTTTGAATCTTATATCCCTGATTTTACTGATTTTCTAGAAACATTTGATGTCTCTTCATCATTTCATAATGAAACAAAACCTAGAGAGGTTCTTTATAAGCTGTTGTGTACTTCGTGTGCTCCTTAGAAATGTACAGGGCCCTAAAATACTTCTGTAGACCAGTGTCTCTGTTATGGGAGATTTGTAAATGCTTGCTTCTCTGGCATTGCTGTCCTAACTGCCTTTTCAGAAGGCTTTGCTGATTACCTACATTGAGGAACATTCAAAATGATCATTAACTCAGCGCTTGCAAGCGTGAAGCATGTATCTTTTTTGTAAATAGTGGCAAATAAAAGCTGAGGGGAAACAAATGTAAGTCAAGGAGCAGTGAGCAGTGCGGCTTAATGGAAAATCCTCCATATTTAGCAACAGAATCTGGATTCAAATTAGAATTTTGCCCGTCACTTACAAACTTTGGTATCTTGAACAAAGTAATTTGCCATCATTGAGCTTCATTCTACATCTCTACAATGAAAATAGTATTTTTTGCTTACCACTTATTGTAAGGCTTAGTTTCATGTGTGTGTGTGTGAGAGAGAGAGAGATGGGGTCTCCCTCTTGTCACCCAGGTTGGAATGCAGTGGCATGATTTTAGCCCACTGTAACCTCCGCCTCCTAGGCTCAAGCAGTCCTCCACCTCAGCCTCCCAAGTAGCTGGAACAACAGGTATGTGCCACCACACCCAGCTAATTTTTTGTGGATTTTTTGTAGAGACAAGGGTTCACCATGCTGCCCAGGCTGGTTTTGAACTCCTGATCAAGAGATTCACCCACCTCGGCCTCCAAAAGTGCTGGGATTACAGGTGTGAGCCACTACACCTGGCCAGAATTAGTTTCTTAAAATGTGATGTTAACGTTGAGTAAATACGAATGCTGGAATTTTTATTTTTAGTTTAAAATATCTGCCCCAAAGTATATTTTTATATTGCTAATAAATTAATAATATGATATTAAAACTCAGATTACTGATCTCAATAACTGACCAATGAAAATTCTGAGCCCACCTTCTTCCTCAGCCACCCCCAGCTCCACCAGGAAGAGGCCCAGATAGAAGTCAGCGATACACGTAAAACATAAAAGGAGAAAACACCCCTGTGGGAGACACAGTTCATGACAGAGGGTGGAGAGAACAGGAAGAGTGTAGTATTGTCTCTGGGAGGGAGAGGTTTTTTCATTTGCTCATTCATTCCAACAATGTTTCTACCTTTTCCCACTCCCAGCACCTCAGAAGGGTCTTATAATTAGTAGGAGAAACAGGTAAATTAACCAATAATGACAGCAATATGAAACGTGCTGCAGTCCCGGGGTGTGATGTAAGGAAAGCTCTTAACTGTACTTCTGGGTCATCAGGGCTTTGACCTCAGAGAAGCAGATTTGATCTAAGATTTTAAGATAAGCAAACAAACAAACAAAAAAAAACAGATGCAACCAAAGCATGGAACAGTATGTGCTCAGAGACAAAGCAGCACATGGCAGTTTGGGGCACTACGGACAGTTTGAATACAGAGTACATGTACTACTTATATTTTTTAAATTGTGTAAGATGTTTTGTCATTTTAAGAAACTTCCCGCCGGGCGCGGTGGCTCAAGCCTGTAATCCCAGCACTTTGGGAGGCCGAGACGGGTGGATCACGAGGTCAGGAGATCGAGACCATCCTGGCTAATATGGTGAAACCCCGTCTCTACTAAAAAATACAAAAAACTAGCCAGGCGAGTGCGGCGCGCCTGTAGTCCCAGCTACTCGGGAGGCTGAGGCAGGAGAATGGCGTGAACAGGAGAATGGCGTGAACCCGGGAGGCGGAGCTTGCAGTGAGCTCAGCGCCCCCCCCCCCCCCCCCCCGGGAAAAAAAAAAAAACCCCCCCCCTCCAAAAAAAAAAAAAAAAAAAAAAAAGAAACTTCCCTTCTAGGGGGTGATTGCCCCTCCTGGGGCTCCCCAATTCTTCTAGACAGCAAAGGACTCAGGTGGGAGCATACCTATGATTTACGAACTATAGCCCTGAGCCACACCTCCTCTGTGGCCCTGAAACCCCAGGAGGCAATGTTCCTCTTAAATCATCCCAGGGCCAGGTAACAGGCAACTAGGGACTACCTCTGTAGTTTACAGCACACTGAAATTATTCCAACGAGTCAATCCCAAACTGTTGACCCCGCCCTGCCTTACCATTTCCTCGGAAACTCCAGTAAGCGCCCAGGCTCTCCCCTGGCTCCTGGTGCTTCCGCCTCCTGACTGGCGCTTTCCCCTGTGGCTGTGCATGGTGTGCTGCGCCATCTGTTTCTAGGACCTGTGAGTGTAAGAAACTTTTTCCTGTCTCCCCTTGTCATTCCTCACTCATCACTACATAAAAGAACACAGAACAGTACGTTTGGAGGCTTTGGAGGGCGATGAGGTTGGAAAGGAAAACAGGAGTCACATCATTAAAGGTTTTTATGTTGGGCCACATCTCCATCACTTGCATGGAATGTTTAACCAAGTTGGAGATAAGTGCTCTTGCTCTCTGTTGCCTGGCTGCATGTTGTGGTTTGCAAGAAAATACATTACCCCACTGCCCATAAGAGAGGCACCAAGGGTAGTAGTTGAGAGCACAGACCCTGGAGCCAGACTGGCCTGTGTTCAAGTCCTGGCTGCACCACTTACTGGCTGGGCAATTTGAGCAAGTCATGATTAAATTTTCTCATCTGTAAAAGAGATAAATAGCACCTACCTCAAAGACGTATTGGGAAGATTAAATGAGTTATTGTGTACGGTGCTTAGAAAAGTGCCTGGCACGTAGTAAATGCTATGTGAATATAAGCTGTGTAGTAGTAATAGGAGTAGTAGTGCCCATTAATATTTAGTGCAGAAAGAGAGACCCAGATTAGACCCACTAGAGACTACATTAAGACACTGTCTCCTTACTGAGTGTGCTAGAAGTAGCGGTAGACAAACTGCCTGCCACACAGTTGTCTGTGGGTTTTAAAAAATAACTGCTTCTGTTATTTTTATAATAATTATTGCTTCCATTGTAATTATTATCATTACAAGGAATACATGGCTGTGGCCCAAGGATAAATAAATAATCACAGATGATCGGTAGAATGAGGTCCAGGAAGAAGTCCACAGGTGTGTGGATATGTATATACACACACATGACAAGGGTAGCATGCAGTGCAGCAAGGGAAAGGTGTTTATAGATGTGCCATTGAATATCCCAGTGGAAAAAACGCATGCCCCTATGTCATACTTACACAAAAATCACTTTCAGGTAGATGCTAAATCTAAATGTGAAAGGGTAAATGGTAAAGTTTCTAGAAGATAAAAGGGGAATATATTCATGACTTTCATGTAGGTCTTTTAGTTTTTTGTTTTGTTTTGAGACAGGGTCACTCTCTGTTGCCCAGGTTTGAGTGCAGTGGCACAATCATGGCTCACTGTAGACTTGACCTCCCAGGCTCAAACGATCCTTGCCCCTCAGTCTCCAGAGTAGTTGGGATTACAGGCACATGCCTCCCTGCTTGGATAATTTTAAATTTTTTTGTAGAGACAGAGTCTCATTATGTTGCCCGGGCTGGACTCAGACTCCTGGCCTCAAGCGATCCTCCAGCCTCAGTCTCCCAAAGCACTAGGATTACACACCTGTGCGTGAGCCACTGCACCTAGCCTGCCAAAATTTCTTAAGATCCCAAAAAGGCTGGGCACGGTGGCTCATACCTGTAATCCCAGCACCTTGGGAGGCCAAGGTGGGTGGATCACTTGATCTCAGGAGTTCAAGAGAACTTGGGCAACATGGTGAAACCCTGTCTGTACCAAAAATACAAAAACTTAGCCAGGCATGGTGGCGTGTGCCTGTAGTCCCAGCTACTCAGGAGGGAGGATCACTTGAACCCAGGGATGTGGAGGTTGTAGTGAACCGAGATCGCATCACTGAACTCCAGCCTGGGTGACAGAGTGAGAACCTGTCTGTCTCAAAATAAGACCCAAAAAAGATGAACCATAAAATAAAAGATTTGTAAATTGGACTTTACAATTTGCATTAAATTATACTTTTATAAATTTATATGTGTAAATTTGGAATTTACATTAAAATCAGGAACACTGTACATCAGAAGACCCCATTATAAGAATGAAAAGACAAACCTCGATATGAGAAAAAAAAATTGCAAACAGATTGGACAAAGCACTCCTGTCCTGAATAAAGAACTCATCAAATCAATAAGGAAGACAGGCAACACAATAGAAAAATGAGCAAGACTTAAGCAGCCATCCCTCAAAAGAAGCTTTCCAAATAACCAATAAAGACCTGTGAAAAGTGCTCAACTTTGTTAGTCATAAGAAGGCAAAATGAAACCATGTGATACCACTACAAAACCAACAAAATGGCTGAAAGTTAAAAACTTAAAATCCCATGTGTGGGCAAGAATGTGTGGAGCAGAAGAACTTTCATACCGTTTACTATGTAAAGTGAGGGGATTCGCGTTAATCTGTAACTTTTGGCTGGACTATCCTGAATCTTAAAGACAGGAAGACCTGAAGCCTTTGCAGTTTGTATTTAACCAAACCCATGGCTGACAGCAGATGGCAGCGGAGCGCACAGTAAGCTTTTCAGGACCGGGCTGGGGCCCTTCTGACTGTAGCTCACAGGTAGGTGTGCTCACAGGACGGCGGAGGCAAGAGGAACGCCATTCTCCCTGTCCTCCACTTCACTCCTTGTCCGCCTCCTAACTTCTGTCGTCTCTCCCTTTACTGCACCAGAGTGCTGGGCAGCTCAGATGACTACAGTGCATTCTAAATCTAGTGCTGAGTTTTTAAAACCCAGATTAGGGAATTGAATGCTAAAATTAGAGATGATATACTTTCATCCATCTCCTA